TGTGTAATGTTGAGAGATGTCCAAGGAGGAGGGTAGAGGAATTTTACGGTGGGGGGGGGGAGGGGCGGGGCTGTATTATCCTTAGCCCAGATTTAAACGAATGTTGATGTTATTTGTCGGCATTGAGTTTAAAGCAACTGTTTTAAAATATCGCAATTTAATGGGACAAGATACCCATGTTTTCGATAAAAAATTTATTTTGCTCTCCAAAATTTTTATTTCTTAATTCGGTACTAATACCTTTTATCTATCTAACCCCAACATTTCGTACAGTAAATCAAAATAACCACATGTGCTAGGCAACCATCTTGTTTCTAGATAAACAAAACATCCGCCTGTCTTCATTTGTTTACTTTATCTGCATATACTCTTCTATTTGATGTTTTAAAATTATACAACATTTAGGTTAATAATTGAAACTTTGCCAAGAAGTGTACTGTTGATTGTCATTAGAACACTATTTAACACTGTTTGGTACGCTTTATACTAAGCTAAAACAATGCGTCATGGACATCTCTGTCAGTTTAAATAATGTACAAAGTCCATCCCCTTCTCGCTATTCTACCACCGACCAGTTTATAATCTTGTTACATCATGTTGTTATAGGATTGAATGCGTTTACCAGACTTTACATCGAACTGTAAACGACACATATGTTAATGTGTATGCCCTTAGGTCCATGTAGGGTTTGCTAGCAACTGATATAATTACTATATCGGATAGCTGATAAGCATTCATTGTACGGAAACTAGTGCTTGACCCTATCTACACGGATGTGTTATTCACGGTTGAATAAACCTACGTAATCTATGTTTTATTGGTTAAGGTACTATCTAGCGGTGGGGAGGTGTGGGATGGGGGCGTGTTTAGCCTCAAGCGTTGTACCCACGATTGTGTAGTATAGTAGGCTATTATTAAAAGGCAATAAACTTGTGTAAGCTACAATTTAGGTAGAAATAGACATTGTATTGAAGTGAGAAGACTGGCTAACAAACAAAGCTTAATCTGGTTTGATGACAGCTGTTCTGAGAATTACACTCAATGGATAGGATGTATAATATTTAATAGTCATTAATTCATTACCTGTTGTATACATGTTTTCTGCTTACATGAAAAAATCTGTCTACAACTAACAAGATAAATCAAAGCGTATTTTATTAGTTAAGTTATTCTTCCACACATAACAAGACGTTTTTATTTTTCTAGAAGAGGAAACTGGTAACTGCAACACTTTTAAAATATATAGAAAATTTTAATGTGTGTTTCAATTTTACAAATATAAGCAAGGTATTTATTGTCAAACTTAACATTCCTAAATAATAATTACTAATGAAAATTGTGATTTACAAAGTAATGTTAACATATTTGTTGAAGATAAATAGGACTTAAAATAACTATACATTTCTCTTTGGTTTACAAAAATTAAAATACTTTTTGTTGATTGCAACGAGAGTATGTAATAACCTCATATTTTGACATTTATATTACAATACTGTCTTTGTCTTTATAATCACTAATGCTAGCTATTAATATAACAACCACCATGTTTGTCTAGAAATTCTGTTAATACATTTGTTTCACTAACGGGACACACTAAGCCTTGGTTGTTGTCGTGGTCGTGAAAAGCTTTTTGTTCTAGAAGAGAAATATGGGTATCATTCTTATACAATAAGACAATATAACAATAATTATCTTACTTTAACCAGTGTCAGCCTCCGCGCAAATTTAATTGCGAAACCCCACTCAAAAAAGTTTCATGTTCCCCCTCCCCCCGCCAAGAAAATAATTTTTGAAATAAAAAGTGCTTCAGTGACTTTTTTCTCAAATATCAATGACTCAATGGTTATGAAGGAATTTTCAGGTCTCAATATTCATGCCCTATTGACCTTGTCGATGTGGCCATGGCCCAATGACCATGATCCACTTACAAAATCACAATCGTCTAACTGTACACATTTCACTGACAATATGTCTCTGACCATAATACGTTACTGACCATATGTCACTGATCATATGTCACTAGCCATATGCTACTGACCCTTTTCTAGCTTCCTGATTATTAAGTAGGACTCAACGTATATGCATTTAAAACAAAGCATTTCTTTACAAAACACTGAGGCTATATCTTCTAGGTATCAATATAACAATCACCCTAATGGTCCAAAACCTTTCCATACACGTGTTCAGTTTCAATTAACTCCATTAGTTGGACACCCCCGGCCTCTGTCCGTGTCATGTTGTCATAAATAGCGTTTTGATATGGAAGAGAAATTATACCATTCTAATTATCATGTAAAAAGCATTGATTTCGTTATTTCGACGATAAAGTTTAATTTATTTTAGCATGACTAGGTAACCATGACTACATGTTGCTAATTGTTTATCCATTACAAGTTTTTTGTGTGATCCAAGTACCTAGTCTTAGATTCAGTATTTATGTCTATATTTGGTCTCAGTGGTCAAGACACACTGACCATTATCTAGAAACATGGCCCAGCGACCGTGACCCATTGATACTGACTCAAAATCAATGTCTTACTGACCAAAACCCAATTATGATACCTCAAAAGACATGGTTCTATGACCATGATCAAAGTCCATGACGGAAAACCAAATTTTAACCTTTATTAATTTTAAAGCGTGCCCGTCAACACGCGATGCAGTGGTCTCAAAAGAAAGTCTAGCGATATATTTTAAGAGGGTTTCATCAATGGTTTACCAATCATATGATCTTGGACGCGTGACCTTGTTTTCTTAAACTGAGTTATTTAAAAGTAAACAATGCCGGCACTCTATTTCCTGGATCATATTTGTCGGGTCACAGACTTGCCCACACTATTGCCGCGTACGCTCCAGGGCGTGCTGTGTGAAAGACTTGAGTGTACGTTAATCACTCTCCGTAATATAGAGGTAAAACACAATTCGACGACCGCCCGTGATCATAGACGTAGTTGGGCTCTGTCTGGAGGCCACGTTACTCTACCACAGGGGTGCAGCGTACGGTCCATCATTAAATCATCATTCCCCGTTCGTGGCCAGGACACATGGGGGCAGATGAAGTAGGTTTCATCTGCTTCAGATAACTTGACAAATGAAGGGATAGTGTGTTCAGCACTTTGCACAGCTACGGCACATATTTCGTTTTAATAGTCTAATGTCGTGGGCCGCTGAGTCAATATTGTAGAGTGCTCTTTAAAACTAACGTAGGCGCTTTAGTGCTCATAAGGCATGCTGCCCAGCTTCGCTTAGGCTTTCGAAAACATTGAAAATTTGAATGCTTAATTAATTCGCCCAAGGGTCGGTCGAAGACCTCATGAGTTATGAAGAGGTTTCTACGTGGACATTTTTTTTCGATTTATAGCTCATATAAGGCGCCGGTCAGTCGAGGCCAGTTTTGACCCACTCATCGTTGATTTTTCGGCCAACCGGACCCCGTTTTCTGTCGCCCCAAGGCAAGATCCTGCCAAATTTGAAGCGCTTGCGGCGCCGGGAAGTGCCCTATCGGGCAACTTTGCTTTATATATTATAGAGATTAGCAAATTGCATAGATAAACAAAGATTTCAATATAGTAATTAAGGCCTGAAATACTTTAGTATAGAAATGTATTATTTGAATAGATTCTAGATCTAGGTAGGGTCTACATCTGTGTAAATCTAGTTTTTTATCTAGATCTAGATCTAGAATCTCTAGATCAAGAATCCTAATAGAATTTTTTTTTAGAGTTTAGCCCGAGCAAAATTGTATTGTATAAATTTTATAGCGTACTTAGATCTAAATCAAATTTGAATGAAATAGTTCATTTCTTTTTATTCTAAACACGGCAGATGACGTCATTAGTTAATGTATAAACATTACTGACGTCACTGTTTTAAGCATTCTTTTTCACAACTATAAACGCTTTTCCTGTTGCATAATTAAAACTGTTTCTCGACATTCGAATACGCCTTTATTTTTTATTTTTCTTCTTTAAATAAATTTGTGGTTATACATTTAAAACAACTAACATATTATTTTCAACAAAAGTCCGTATAAAGATATATATATATTGCTGCCGATTCTGACGTGATATCCGGCGAAAATATTTTGCGGACAGACAGAGAGAGAGAGAGAGAGAAGTGCAAACATGGGCTATTATATATTAGGATAGGATAATTCGGGGTGTCAAATTGCACCCTTGTGTGGTGTAGGCGGACGCGCCTGATTAAATTGAGTGAATAAATATAATACCACATAATGTATCCAGCGTCACGGGTGAGCCTGGGGTGCGGAATCGCCCCCTTCCTGTGCAACGGAGGACGTGTTTGATTCAATAAAACCAGCGATTATTGCTGCCCATCAAGTCTTTAGTGTATGGTCTTTTTTAAAACGAAAGTAGGCCCCATAGTGCTCGCATTGTAGACCGGGGCGCTTTGAGCCACGCAATTGCCGGGACGCAAATTGATGCGCCTGTTAAAATTTTACCACGGAATTAACGGATATAAAGCACTAAGATGGGCGTTCTGGAACTCTGGGCGTCAAACAATGTATTGAAGAAAATCGCACCCTCCAGGCGCCACCCATAATTATTTTTTCCCGCAGGAACCGCCCCTGGAATATTTTCATCAAAACCCCAAAGATTCATGGCGATCGGATGAACGGAATCAAACCGCAATCGACTTTCCTTTTTATATACCGTATTTAGAGGAAAATTAAATCGCGCCCTGCTGGAGCAACGCCCTTGCATAATTTAAATTTTATTTTTCACAGAAAACCTTCCCAGGAGTATTTTCAACAACGTCTCCTCCCCAACTCACATACTTTCATTATATATAAATATATATATATATATATATATATATATATATATATATATATATATATATACATTTAACGGTTCACGTTATCGCCGTGGCGCCATTGGATACGGCTGTTGAAGTTTTACCGCTGAATGTAGTATAGATCAATTACTGGTTCTTTTCTTAAATACATTTTATATAAATTAAAACATAGGATATATCTACTAGGTATCAATATTACAATCACCCTGATAGTCCAAAACTTTTCCATACACGTGTTCAGTTTCAGTTAACTCCATAAGTTGGACACCGCCGGCCTCTGTTCGTGTCATGTTGTCATAAATTGCGTTTTGATCTGAAAGAAAAATTGTACCATTCTATTTACCATGTATCAAGGCTTAATTTCCTTAATTAAACAATAGAGTTTAATTTACTTTAGCGTGACTTGGTAATCATGACTGAATGTTGTGAATTAAAGATTTATTACATTTTATTTGTAATCCAATGACCAAGTCTTAGATTCAGTATGTGTGTCTCAATGGTTATGTGCAACATTGTCCTAAAATTCAAGTTCGAATGTAATTGCCACAATGACTTTTTCTCAGTGGTCTAGACCACGGGTTCCCAACCGAAGGGCTTTCTGGGGGGTCGCCAACTGGTATATTAAACCTTATTAATGAGAAACAAAACATAAATATTTAGAAGAATATCTAAAATTCGGCTTTACTAACAAATGGAATATAGAAGAAGCAATGAGTACTGTACAAAGTTGTTCTCAGTCACGAGTTTATGAAATCTTCAAAACTAAAACGTCATTTGAGACAAGTCATTCTGAACACACCAAAAAAGATAAGGAGTTCTTTCGTCGGTAAGAAGCTAGTTACAAACGCCAGAGACTTGATCGAACAGGAAGTTTTCACCAGCATTAGTGCAAGCATCAAATGAAGTCGTGATAGAAAATGCCAAGCAAAAAAAACAAGTAATTAAAAAAAGTCTAGTGACAATTTTAGCGCAATTTGCTTGTGTTATCTAAAAATAGCTCTGTCGTAGCGTAAATCAAGAGCAGGGTTAGTAAAACAATTGGTTAGTTATTAAAACGTTTTTTATTAAAAAAAATTTCAGTATTTTACATGTTTTATTTACAATAGAGTAACATGACTAAAAACCATTGTGCGCCTAGCTACCGAACGTGACGCCGCAGCCATTGAACGTGATGGCGCAGCTATTGAACGTGATGACGCGTGTGGTGTGGTTGCATAAAATGCCTACTAATTCGGTCCAAATTTTAATTAATTTAAAAATTTTTTTGTGACCGAACGAAAGGATATTTTTGAAAACTTTCTTCGGCAATATTGTTCTAAATTATGACAGGAATCGATTGGCACATGTTTCAAGTCGCTAAATGGTCTGGTTGCCGAGATATGGGCCAAAAACTGCATTTTTTTCGAGGTTTTTTGGATTTTCCGGGAAATCCATGAAAGAAACCCGGAATGTTTATGGCCTATGTTCATCCTCGTAACTTGCTTAACATAATTGCTTTTGAAACTAGTCCTCGATATTGCTTCGTTGAGGAGGAGATACGACTTAAAGCTGCGGACACACATCCATACATTCCCAGAAATGACGAGTTAATAAACGCAATTCTCCAGAATGGAAATTGCGCTAAAAAACAATATGAGAAAATCTCATCAAACGCTGCATGTTGAATATGGTGAAGTTAATTCTTGGGGATTCCAGTATAATAAAAACGCAACAAATATCACTGCCTAATAATACTATTCAGCAGCTTAAAGAAGACATGTCCGTAGATGTTAAATGACAAATTTTTAATGAAATCAAGCGTTCACCATTGTTTGCTTTTCAATTTGATAAATCAACAGACGTGAGTTCGTGTCGCAGTTGCTGGTATTTGTCTATATTCATTCAGATGATAGCAAAGAAGAGTTGCTATTTTGTGAAGATAGCGTGGAGAAAATAAATACGTTTTTTTTTAAATTTGATGACTAAAATGGGCTAAAACGGCTGTGGGGGTTTGTAGGGATGGTGCACTATCTATGTTTAGGTCAAAATCGGACTTTCAGAAAACAGAAAAGATATAGCTCCCTAACCACTGCATGAATCACCAGTATGCCCTCTCCATCAAGACCAGAGTTTCTTCCAGGCATCTCTTCGGGGGGGGGGGGGGGGAAGTGAGGGGGGGGGGGGGGGGAGGGGCGGGAAACGAAATGGAATTTATATAGAAAGTATATTATTATTGTCCGCCTCCCCCCCCCCCCCCCCCCGAAAATTTCAAGTGCACCCCCGGAGAAAAAAGTCTGGAAGAAACACTGATCAAGACTTCATTGCTAGTAAAAGTCGTACATTATATTAAATCTTGAACCTTCACAAAACTGAGCAAAGACATTAATATAGATCACGAGGTTCTGCGTTTCTACACTACAGTACGCTGGCTGTTAAACGAATTGTTGTGAATCGTGTTTTTGAATTGAAATTTGAAATCAAATTGTTCTTGGAAGTGCAAAGGAAACAAGACCTTTTGGTATACTTAAAACGACATAGAGTGGTTGGAGAGATACATTCGAACATCAACATAAGCTTAACCTGAAGCTTCAGGGAAAATGAACGAATATTATCACTTTCCATGATAATCTCGGGGCATTTTTATCAAAGCTGCAGAATTGGCGAAGAAAATAAATCTTGGAAATATTGTAAATTTGAGAAACTCTGCAGTGTGGTAGATGAATCTGATTGTGAGATAATTAAAATTTTGAAATAAGCGATTTCTGGGCATCTTGAATCTCTTGAAAACGAACTGCATCGCTATTTCTCTGAGCTGAAAAAAAAGAAGAATCTGCACTTATGCATTTCCCATTCTCTTCTTCCCTTGATGTTGCCAGCATTCCCGATGAATTACAAGATGAATTCTTTTGATTTGCAGATGATTCCGCGTAAGATGAAAAACTGCACACACAATTTTGGTGTAGTATTCACCATTCATACCCAAACGTATTTTCGAGAATAGATTTTCAACACTATTCTCCGATTAAAAACAAAATTTAGAAATACATTTAATGTTGATAATGACATAGGTTGGCGTTAACAATAACTTAATCGCGAATGTTTAGTAAATAGCATGCAATGTTACTCATCGTATTGAAACAGTTATCAAGAGTAGTTCATATTGAATGTCTTCTAGAAAATCTTATTTTAGTCCTTATTAATGTCCATACTAATGTCGGCTTTTAATTTTATGGGGGTCGCGGGTCACTTACTTTTTATAAAAGGGGGTCGCCACTCGAAAAAGGTTAGGAACCACTGGTCTAGACACACCGAACATTATCTAGTAACGTGGACCAGCGACCGTAACCCATTTAAGTGATTCGATAACAATGTCTTACTGACCATGATAAAGTTATGTTGCCTCAATAGACACGGTTCCATGACTATGGTCAAAGTCCATGACGATAAACGAAATTTAAGCCTTTATTAATTTACAAGCGTGCCCGTCAACGCGCGTTGCGGCGATCTTAGAAGAAAGTCTGACGAAATATTTTTAGATAGTTTCACCAATGCTATGTTCTTAGATGCGTGACATTATTTCCTAAAACTGAGTTATCTGAAGGTAAACAATGCTGGCACTTTTTTTCCTGGATCATATAATTCTGGCACAAGCTTGCCCACACTTCTGCTGAGCATGCTCCAGTGCGTGCAGTATGAAAGACTTGAGTTTACGTTAATCACTCTCCGTAATAGTTAGGTAAAACATAATTAGACATACGCCCGGTTGTCATAGACGTAGATGGGCGTTCTCTTGGGAGCCCAAGTTAGGATACCGCAGGGGCGCCGCATACGGACCATCATCACATAATCATTTCCCGTTTAGGACAACGGAAGACGTGTTTAATTCAATAAAATCAGCGATTATTGGAGCCCGTATCGTGTCTAGTGTATCGCCTTATTTTAAACGAGCATAGGCTCCATAATGCTCACAGGGGAGCCCGGGTCGCTTTGGGTCTCGCAATCGCCGGGGCGCCGGTGGATGCGCCTGTTGAAAATTTGACGCTAATCATAATAGTATCCCTTACCCGCTATGCATGACGCCCAATTAACGGATACCAAGCGCGATGATAGCCGTTCTGCAAATCTGGGCGACTGTGTGTTGACGAAAATCGCACCCTCCCGAGCCCCAGCAATGGAAATTTTATTTTACGTCGAAACCACCCCTGGAATATTAACATTAACTCCTCAAAGTTTCATGGCGATCGGATAAACGGGGTCCAACCGCAATCGACTATTTTTTTACATACACATTAAAAGAGAAAAATTGAATCACGCACTGCTGGGGCGCCGCCGTTGCAAAAAAAAAATATTTTTCACAGAAACCTCCCCAGGTGTATTTTTAACAAATCTCCTCCACACCAAGCACATACTTTCAATTTATATCTATATTCATTAGTGGTTCTTTTCTGAAATACATTATATACATATATATATATATATATATATATATATATATATATATATATATATATATATATATATATATAATGTAGGCTATATATACTAGGTACTAATATTACAATCACCCTCAAGGTCCAAAACCTTTCCATACACGTGTTCAGTTTCAATTAACTCCACCAGTTGGAAACCCCCGGCCTCTGTTCGTGTCATGTTGTCATAAATAGCGTTTTGATCTGGAAGAGAAATGTTACCATTATATTTACCATGTAACCAGTATTAATTTCCTTAACTCAAAGAGTTTAACTTCCTTTAGCATGACTATGTAATCATGACTAAATGTATTTAATTAAATATCCATTACACTTTTTTTGTGATCGATGACCAAGTCTTAGATTCTGTATTTATGTCTCAATGGTAATGAGCAACAATGTCTTAATATCCATGTCCGAATATTCTTGCACCAGTGACTTGGTATCAGTGGTCAAAACACTGTCCATTATCTAGTAACATAGCCCAGCGACCGTGACCCATTGATAGTGTCTCAATATCAATGTGTCACTGACTATGATCCAGTTATGATACCTCAATAGACATGGTTCCATGACCATGGTCAAAGTCCATGACGGAAAACTAAATTTAAGCCTTTTTTTACTTTCTCGTATATACGAAGTATAGAGAAAGTATTGTAATCGTGCAAAAAAACGAGATTTTTACAAATCTCGACGTTTTACACCTCACTGATGCGGAAAAACATAATTTTGCAATCTTGTCCGTATGTCTGTGAGTCTGTGTGTGTGTGTCTGTGTGTAAACACGATTACTTGAGTACCGTTACAGCTAGGTTGATGGAATTTCATATATAAGTATTTTATCAAAATCGTAGATCCTGATCAACTTTTGAGCGATTTCCGATAACCGGAAGTGGTACTTTTTCTACTTTGAATTTTTCAAAAGCCTATAACTTGAGTACTATTTGAGATAGATAAATGAAATTTTACATGTAAGTAAAAGATCTAGTTCTCTACCTTCTTTCGAATTCTGAGTAATATCCGTTGAACTGAAGTACTAATTCCGAGTTATATATGAATATTCGAGAAAGTTTAGGGGAGATCACTCCCGGTTTATTAATAAATAAGCGTTCCCGTCAGCGCGTGTTGCAGCGGTCTGAGAAAAAAGTCTGACGAAATATTTTAAGAGGGTTTTATCAATTTTTTGTCAATGCTATGTTCTTGAAAGCGTGACACTTCTTTTTTCTAAAATTGATTTATTTAAACGTAAACAAAGCCAGCACTCTATTTACTTGATTATATTTGTCGGGGCACAGGCTTGCCTACACTACCGCCGAGCTATACGAAAGACTGGATTGTACGTTAATCACTCTCCGTAATAGTTAGGTAAAACACAATTAGACGGCCGCCCGGTTGCCATGGACATAGTTAGGCGCTCTGCGGAGCCCACGTTACACTACCACAGCGGTGCAGCGTCCGGTCCATCATTACATTATCCTTTACACTTCGTGGCCAGAACACATGGTGCTGATGAAGTACGGTTCATCTACTTCAGAGACCTTGAAATATGAAGGGATAGTGTTGCCAGCACTATGTCTAGGTACGGCGCAGTTTGATTTAATCATCGAATTTTGTATGCCGCCGAGTTAATATTGTAGTGTTTTCTTAAAAGCTAACGTATCGCCATTGTGCTTATTGGATCGCGCGAGGTGTGTAATTGCATCCTGCATCGGCGCCGGCCGGACGCGCCTGATTTAATTTAGTGAACTACTATAATACCACATATTATCCATATTCTATCGCACTCTCTAAAACGAACGTAGGCGCCATAGCGCTGACGCGAAAGCCCGCTGAGTCAAATAGTACTATGCAAGGCGCCGGAAGAAACGACTTATTTGATTTAGTGAGAGACTCTAGCAACACATTGTATCCTTAGACTATCGTCCTCTTTAAAATGAACGTACGCGTTATAATGCTTATGGGTGAGTCCGGGTCGCTTAATGGACTCCTCCCGGGGCAACGGACTTGTCTGATTCAATAAAACGTGAGATTAGTGATGCCCATCGTGTCTTTAGTGCATAGTCTCTTTAAAAACGAACTTAGGTCCGATAGTGCCCGAGGCGCTTTAGGTCATACAAACGCCGGAGCGCCGACGGATGCGCCTGTTGATGTTTTACCGCTGAATATAGTAGTATCACTTACCCGCTATGCAGGACGCCCAATTAACAGATACCAAGCGCTAAGATAACCGTCCTGGAACTCTGTGTGATAAACCGTGAATTGAAAATAATCGCAATATCCCGGGCGTCACCTATAAGAATATTTTTCCCGCAGAAACCTGCTTTGAAATATTCTCATCAACTCCCCAAAGTTTCATGGCGATCGGATAAACGGAGTTAAACCGCAATCGACTTTTAATTTATTTACATATATAGAAAAATATTAAATCGGACCTTGCTAAGGCGCTGCCCTTGCAAGCGTTGACTTTTTTTTCCACAGAAACTTCCCCAGGAATATTTTCAACAACTACCCCCTTCCACACACACACACACACATATTTTCATTTTATATATGTATCGATTAGTGGTTCTTCTCCAAAATACGTTTATATATACAAAAAACATAGGCTAAATCTACTTGGTATCAATATTACAATCACCCTCATGGTCCAAAACCTTTCCATACACATGTTTAGTTTCAGTTAACTGCACTAGTTGGATACCCCCGGCCTCTGTCCGTATCATGTTGTCATAAATAGCGTTTTCATCTGGAAGAGAAGTTTTACCATTTTATTTACCATTTAACAAAGAATAATGTTCATAATCCAACTATACATTTTAATTTACTTAAGCATGACTAGCTAACCATGAGTAAATGTTGTTAATTAAATAGCCATTACATTTTATTTTTTAATCTAATGGCCAAGTCTTACATTTAGTATTTGTGTCTTAATGAGCAACAGACAATGCCCTTAAATTTAAGTTCGAATGTAATTGCCCCAATGACTTTGTCTCAGTGGTCAAGAAACACTGACCTTTATCTAGTAACATGGCAAAGCGACCGTAACCCATTTATGTGACTCAATATTTAAGTTATTTTACCTCAATAGAAATGGTTCCATGACTATGGTCAAAGTCCATGACGGAAAAACTAATTTTAACCTTTACGAGCGTGCCCGTCATAGCGCGTTGCAACGGTCTCATAAGAAATTGACGAAATATCTTAAGAGCGTTTCGTCTATGTTTTACCAATCCTATGTTTTTAGACACGTGACCTTGTTATCTAAAACTGAGTTATTTAAATGTTAACGATACCGGCACTCTATTTCCTAGATCATATTTGTCAGGGCACAGGTTTGCCTACACTATCGACGAGCTGTACGAAAGACTTAAGTGTACGTTAATTTCTCTCTGTAATATTCAGGTAAAACACACTTCGGCGACCGTCCAGTTGTAATGGACATAGTTGGACGCTATGGGGAGCCAACGTTACTCTACCACAGGGGTGCAGCGTACGGCCCATCATTACATTATCATTTCCCGTTCGTAGCCAGGACACACGGGGGCAAATGAAGAAAGGTTTATCTGCTTCAGAGACATTGACATATAAAGGGATAGTGTGGTCAGTAATATTCTCAGGTACGGCCCATAGCTCGGTTTAATCATCGAATGTCGCGTGACACCGAATCAGAAATTTTGGGAGCTCTTTAATACTAACGTAGGTGTTATAGTGCTTATTGGATAGCCCTGTGTGTTAAATTTCACCCTGCTGGGGAGTCGTCGGACGCGTCTCATTCCATTTAGTGAACGACTATAATACCACATATTATACCTATTATATCGCACTCTTTAAAACAAACGTAGGCGCTATAGCGCTCAGGGGAAAGACGTTGGAGTCAAATAGCACTTTGCGAGGCGCCGAAAGACGCGCCTAATTAGATTTAGTGGGCTACAATAGCAAAACATAGTATCCATAGCCTATCGCACTCTTCAAAAAGAACTTGCATCATAGTGCTCACGGGCGAGCCCGGGCCACCGAATCGCCCCTGCCGGGACAACGGAGGACGTGTCTGATTAAAAAAAAAACTGCGATTATTCTTGACCATATTGTCTGTAGTGTATAGCCTTTTTTAAAACAAACGTAGGCCTCATAGTGATCACAGTTGAGCCAGGGGCGCTTCGGGTCACGTTATCGGCGGGGCACCGGTGGAAGCGCCTGTTGCAGTTTTACCGCTGAATATAGTGGTATCACCTTCCCGCCCAATTAAGGGATACCAAGCACTAAACTACCCGTTCTGGAACTCTGGGCGTCAAACCGTGTATTGACGAAAATCGCACCCTCCCGGGCACCACGCATAAGAATACTTTTTCCCTCAGAAACCTGCTCTGGAATATTCTCATCAACACCCGAAAGTTTCTTGGCGATCGGATAAGTGGAGTCAAACCTCAATCGACTTTTATTTTTATATACCGTTTTAAATTTTATTATACACAGAAACCTCCCCATGAGTATTTTCAACAACTGCCACCCCCCCACGCATACATTCATTTATATATATAAATATATATATATATATATATATATATATATATATATATATATATATATATATATATATATATAAATATATATATATATATAAATATATATATATATATATATATATATATATATATATATATATATATATATATATATATATATATATATATATATATATATATATATATATTTATTTATTTATTTATATCGATTAGTGGTTCTTTTATAAAATACATTTAATATACATAAAAAAAACATATATCAAACAAAAACCTGTGGCAATTTTTAAAGCAAAAGCCAATAGAGAAAGAAATCAAGGCCCGTAAATCGGGATGGATCGGACACACATTAAGAAGATAAATAGAAAACGTCGCAAAACATACTCTAGAATGGAATCCCCAGGAAAAAAGGGTGGGCCGGCCAAGGAAGACAGGAAAAAAAAACGGTTGAAGAAGAGGCGAAAACAGCTGGGCTCACATAGGCACAGATCAAAACCAAGTTGGCTGGAAATGTGTGGTTGCAGGCCTTTGCTCTCCAGGGGCCACAATGGAATGATGATGAAAAAATATAGAATATATCTACTAGGTATTAATATTAAAATCACCCTCATGTTCCCAAACCTTTCCATACACATGTTTAGTTTCAGTTAACTCCATTAGTTGGATACCCCCGGCCTCTGTCCGTATCATGTTGTCATAAATAGCGTTTTGATCTGGAAGACAAAATTTTACAATTATATTTACCATGCTACAACGGATTAACTTCCATATTTCAACGATAGAGTTTAATTTATTTTAGCATTACTAGGTAACCATGACTAAATGTTGTTAATTAAATATTCATTAGAATTTATTTGAACGGAGTCAAACCGCCAACTACTTTAATTTCTATATATATTGTTTAAATAGAAAAAATGAATCGCCCCACCTGAGACGCCGCCCTTGCAAACTTTAAATCTTATTTTTTTTCACAAAAACCTCCCATGGAGTATTTTCAACAACTTCCACCCCCCCCCCCTACAAACACACGAACACATACTTTTATTATATATATATATATATATATATATATATATATATATATATATATATATATATATATATATATATATCGTTTAGTGGTTCTTTTCTAAAATACATTTATATAATTTTGTAAGGATCTTTTGTCGTGTTGTGTCTCTAATATTGCATGATATAAGCCTTGAATTAAAATAAAATAAAAATTTAAATGTTTGAAATGTTACTTGTTTGGTTCTTATGGCAGTTTCCAGATTCTACTTGATTCCGAGATGGTGCTCGTGTTTTGCAACGCAACTTAACCACAAGCACAACTGCCAGCACGAACATCGCTACCCCAACACAAATACCAGTCACAATGCCAATCACTTCAGATAGTCCAACTGAATTCCTCTTTTCTGAAAGACAAATTTTGATGCATCACTAAATTAATAAGAACAAAGACAATTGCAGATATGAATGCAAAGGTTTTTTTTTATCAAGCGAAATATGTAATTTCATTAAGCTTTCATAAACTGTTACTTTATAATACTAACGTTCAGTTCTCCACGACATTGGTATTTTTGTTTGTTTTATGCGGTGTAAATTATATTAAGAACGAAGAGGATGAAGAAATAGTACTAACATCAAAACTTAAGTTATATAAACAGTTCAATGTAGTACAGTTTAGCTATGTAAAGTAAATTGTAGGAAAAATATACGCTTTATCTTTACATAAATGTAATACGTCATACGTAAAAACTAAGAAGATAAATTAGAAAGAAAACCTTTTTTAAAGATAAAAAGACAACCACTGGAATCTATCCTGAATAAGCATGAAAGTACAGACAAGGTCAACTGTAAAAACGCTATTTTAATGCCTCATACATCTTGACATAATTAGCTATACTTTACATAAATAGTTCTAAATGATTGCACAATTATCACTACGCCAAAAATAGCGTTTCGGTTAACTGTAATAATTCATTGTCATTTAAAAACGGATATTAGATCGTTGTAGTTGTTAGCAATATTATATGTATTTTTACTTCAGACACAGACATCTTTCAAAAGGAATTCTAAAAGAGTATAAAACGTGTACTGGACTCGCTTCCAACATTATATGTATCTTTCACTAGCTGGTTGAAAATGTGGACTTCTAATTAACTTCAAGTAATGTCATAATAATTGATGTAAAACTCGACATTAAAGTCTGAGAGCTTGATTTCGTAAAATGATAAAATAGTATAATGTGCATAACAAGTGTGGGTCGTGTTTTTTTTCAAATTTACATTTTTAAAGGCAAAAGTTTAAAGACTCTAGATCAGCAGTTCTTTACCTTTTTTGAGGTACCGAACGCCCACCAGTTTATATCCCATCTCACAGAAATCTTTTTAGCAGTTCTATCGTCCGCATTGAGAAAATCCGATCGTGAGTCATATGAGTCGGGTCTGTGTCTTAACCTCCACCGAACCTTTGAGACTGATTCATCGAACCACTGGGTCTCAATCGAGCGCAGGATAAAAACTACTGCTCTAGATAATAGGCGTTTCTTTACCTATTAAATTGCTCTACCTGGCTACTTTTTTTACAAAGTAAATTCAATATAACGTTGAAAATAGATAGGTAGCCAGTCCTTCGTTGTAATATACCTCAGATTTTAACTGATCTACCCTACATCAACAAACTAACGTACATTTAGTATAATGAAACTGTAATGATTTTACCCAACGTATAGCCAGTACCGTTCACTGTAGTAAAGTTCAATATTGCCGTCTTTGCTTTTGACGTAACAGATGTTGTGTCTGTTTCAAATATATTGGTAGCAGCTGCAAATCCGGACAAACAGTGTAGGTTTATCTAAGTGTTTTTTTTTAAGAACTGACATTTTTTTAAAGTAAATCTAAAGGTCTCTATAATTCATTACTGGAGTGGTTTCAAGTACTAAATGTATCTTTCTCATGGCCATAAACACCGGCGATAATATAAGTTTAGATATCACGTTTTCGATGTAAGGGAATATAATATAAAACTGTATTTTAAAATGTGAATTCATATACATTTTGTTTTCTTTTTATCTTGCTGCATTGATTTAAACAAAATTACCCAATGTTTTGCCAGAACCGTTCCCTAACTTTGACACATTTCCCTCTGTTTTAAAGCTAATTGTTGTCATCGTTGCCATGAATTTCACAGATGTTGTTGGGTCAATTTCAGATGTTGTGGTTATCTCTGCAAATCAGAAAAATTTAAAACGGTTAACCGACAATGTTTTTTTAAATTAATTATTAATAAAGTGAGAAAACACCCCATGTTTAGTTAAATTAAAAATTAAAAATAATAATTTGAATACTCTTTTTTTTAAATAACTACTAAACAAGCAATTTATTTTTCTAGTTCTTTGAAAAAAAATGTGTAAGGCATTTAAATTAGTATATATATATATATATATATATATATATATATATATATATATATATATATATATATATATATATATATATATATATATATATATATATATATATATATATATATATATATATATATATATATATATATATATATATATATAATGTAATAAAATTGACATATACTAGTTAATTGCAATTTTTTGTAGTCAGTTATTCAGTATCGTTACTTTAAAGGTACATTAAATAAAATATTTAAACATGTTACACAGGTGAATATATATATATATATATATATATATATATATATATATCTATATATATATATATATATATATATATATATATATATATATATATATATATATCTATATATCTATATATATATATATATATATATATATATATATATATATATATATATATATATATATATATATATATATATATATATATATATATATATATATATATATATTGACACTTTCCCGAATGCAAGAAATAATCGAATGGGGGGGGGGAGCCTAAACTAACACTTGTCGTAATGGGGCAATTTCTTTTATCTTGCTGCATTGATTTAAACAAATTTACTCAATGTTTCGCCAGAACCGTTCCCAGTCTTAGACACATTTTCCTCTGTGGTAAAGCTAATTATTGCCGTCGTTGCCATAGATGTCACAGATGGTGTTGGGTCAATTTTAGAAGTTGTGGTTATCTCTGTAAATCAGGACAAAGTTAAAAACGGTTAAACGACAATGTTTTTATTTTCCTTTTGCGAATTTGTTATCAATAAAGTGAGAAAATAACCCGTGTTTAGTTGAATTTAAAAATTCGAAATAATAACCACATTGAATACTACTTTTAAAAAATAACGAGTAAAGAAGTGATTATTTTTCTTTTTCGTAGAAAAAAATGTGTATGGCATTATATTAGTATTCAAAAATCTAATAAAAATTTTGTAGGCGGTCACTCGGTATCATATAAAGGTACATAAAATAAAACATTTTAACATTTACACAACATTTACACACACACACACACACACACACACACACACACACACACATATATATATATATATATATATATATATATATATATATATATATATATATATATATATATATATATATATATATATATATATGTATATATGTGTGTACATCTATATATATAATACATATATAAAAGGAGAAGTTTTTTAATCATTCGTTCAAAATATAATTTATACGCAAAGTTATCACTAAAATTGAGTTACCTGTCTTTAATTTATTGGAAATTGACGAAATCATGCAATCGCCAACTAAATAAAGGTCATCCTCGACAACCCTCTGATAAAGCAATCGCTAAGATTTTTAGTTTAGTTTTGTTTTTATCTTGTTGTCTCCCCTTTTAATATAAAATTTAGTAGTTTTTTTAATTAATCTATCTAATTAGATAGTTAATTTAACATTCTTGCATTTTTATCAAAGATCTACCGCTATGCTAGATTTCAGATCAATCGGATATTGGGGAAGTGGGTCTAATTAATATTTCAAAATTTGGGGAGCCTCATACATACAAAGGAAGCTAAATAAAAACCTTTAAAAAAGCATGTAAAACATTTTGAGAAAATCGCTTCCGTTGGCCAGGCATTCTACTGTCACACAAAGCTCACTCTATGCATAGTACTTTAAAAGCACTGTCTGTTACAATTATTTTAAAAAAAAATTAATATTAAATTTAAAAATCTGCGAGTTGAGAGAAAATCGGACTTACCACAGTTTCTTTCATCTGATTCGTCGCCGCAATCATCAATACCGTCGCACTTAGAACTGATGGAAATACATCCGGTGTTGTCGCATTGAAACTCATCCAAGTCACATGTCCTTCCTAAAATGGAAGGATTTATATGGAGGTTATTGAAAATTAAATTGAAATATCTAAGTGTAATCAGTGAAATTTTTTATTTTTTCCCACTTTCCGCAAAAAACAAAAAGAAAAGTATAAAGTATAACATAAAAAGACTTACGACAGTCCCGCTCATCTGAACCGTCACCACAGTCATTATCAGCGTCGCACTTGTAACTGACGGAAATGCATCTGGTGTTGTTGCATTGAAACTCATCCACGTCATACGCCGATCCTAAATGGAAGGGGTGTTTTCGCAAACAATCAAAAATAAATTATTCTATAATCTTTAGGCTGCTAACCTTAAATTCTGGAATTTGTGTGTCTCTATGTGTGTGTGTGTGCGAACGCGGTAACTTTAGTACCGTTACAGACTGGTTGATTATATTTCATATATAAGTATTATATCAAATTTGTAGTTCTATATAAATTTTTCAGCGATTTCCGATAAACGGAAGTGGGACTTATTTTACTCTTGGTTTTTCAAAAGCCCATAACTTGAGTAGAAGTTTACACAAAAGTAAAAAAAAACTAATTCTCTGTATTCTTTCAAATTTAGAGTAATTTCCGTCTCCCGGAAGTAGTACGTTACGTTATTTCCGACATCTCAAAAAACGCATATGAATTAATAAAGTACTAATATTCCGCACTATCATACACACATTGTTTGGTGTTCACTCAGTGCGCATTTTTTTATACGAGATTCTATTGTATTTTAAAAATTTTAAGTGATTAAAAATTGTTTTCAAATCATGTCTATATCCCAAGTCGCCATCCCCCAAGTATTATATAAGAATATTCGAGATATGTTTAGGGGAGACCCTTACGCTTTATTTAACTTGTGGTTGTGCGTTCGTTTTAAATATGACGCAGAACTTGCCTGTATAAACTTGTTTATTTCATTTACAAAATAAAACGGATAAAGTACAATGACATATCCACAGAAGGAATAAATTAGTAGATAACTGAATACAAATATTCTATGCTGAAGCACAACAACTTTCAATCACACAGTTATCTCTGGTAAAACGACTTAACACATCTAACGTGACACACTAAACACGTTATTCACACATTGTATGTACCCTCGCAGTCTCTAGCTACAGTCAAACAGCGGAATAAAAATAAATCTCTTTTAAGTTTTTGGTTTCTCATTTGGGGTGTTTAGCAAAAACCAAAAATAAATTAGTAAAGAATCGCTAGGTTGATTAACTTAAAGTCTCGAATTTAAATCTTCCCCCAAGTTAGTAGAAATTCCCTGAGTCCACTCAGCTCTAATGGGTATCTATCTTATGTTATGGAAACTAAAGGCGGCTGGGCAAAAAGCTGACCACACCTTCCTTTCATTTACCGAAAAAAAAAAAGAAACGGTATGAACTCTATTTCATCTGCCGAATTGAATCACTCACGCAATTGCTTCCGTTGGCTAGGCATTCTAGTTTCACACAAAGCTCACTCCAAGCCAAGTACTCTAAAAGTACTGTCTGTTGCAATTATAAGAAACAAAAATCAATATTTAATTAAAAAATCTGAGAGTAGAGCAAAAATTTGACTTACGACAGTCTCGCTCATCTGAATAGTCACCGCAATCATTATCATCGTCACATCTGAAACTGGCGGAAATACATCCGTTGTTGGCGCATTGAAACTTATCCACGTCACATGTCCTTGCTAAATTGGAATGATTTATATTGAGGTTATTAATTAAATGAACACTATTTTAAGCAGATACATGTAAATATCCAAGTGTAACCTGTTTAAGTTTTTGGTTTCTCACTTGGTGTGTTTCCGCAAACAACAAAAAATAAATTATTATAGAATCGCTAGTCTGCTAACCCAAAAGCCTCGAATTCGAGCCCTGGTCAAAGTGAGTGGAACGTCATTGAATCCACTCGGAATACTGGGACTAACGATGATGCTTTACTTTTTTACTTTTATAGAAGAGTGGGTTTTAAAATTGCAGTAAAAAATACCCTAACTTATTCAAATTATAAAGAACATATTTAGCTATTTAAGCGAGCTGTGCAGTCGTGCTTCACTACCATTAAAACTCGTCAGTTTACTATTTGGAGGACGAAAAAGTACAGACTATGAAACGTTTTGGTGTTTAATCCTTGTGAATTAAATATCCATCTGTCGAAATGGAGTATTAAAGAGAATAAAGTGCAGAAAATAATACATTGTACCTCAATCCACAAGACACTATGACCCGCAAACCAAAATGAATCCTACTCAATCTATCAAGCATTCCGAACCGACCGAACTACCAAATTGTATAACCCAAACATCACCGCTTATCTACACCCAATCACACACACCACACATACGCACGACCACACCACACACATACACAGCATATTGAGTAGACCAAACACCACACTACCACCATTTACACCCTCAAGCACACCACCTAACCCCGTACTGCACCATCAACCAAACCCACACGTCATAAAAACAACTAAAAACCACTAACGACAATAGACCCCACAGCATAAACCACACTTCAAAACTCTACGACTCATTTACCTCTACGAACATCTCTCAACACTAGTCACACAATCCACACCCAACACTTATCACACTCCATAAACACCTTTTCTCATATACCTACATCAGACCGTCACAGAGTCAACTTAGCTCTAAAGGGTACCTTACTCACGTTAGGGAAAATAAAGGCATAGTGCTGACCACAACATTTCTTCATATACCGAGGTCACGGTAAAAGGTGAACTCTACTTCACTTGCCCACTAGACCGTCACGTATCGAAAGGGAACTTTACACCCTCCATCACAACACAACACACGGAGTAGATAAAATCCCACACCACTCTCTCTACATAATAAACGATTACATACCCACTAGTGGCTAGTTTGGTAGCTTTAGGTCGTCTAAGGATTGTAACAATCTGACATCAACAGAAACATTGTGAATGTACGTTAACAAAGAGGGTAATAATATCTGTGAATATACTCGAAACTAAATACACGCATCTTGCCAATTGATTTTACAAGTTGACGCACCTGAACAAGCTTAACACATACCAAACTCACTTTACCGCACCTCATCCCACCTCTACATACACACAACACAGTCTGAAAAGACCAAACCCCACACCACCAAACTTAATACAAGTAGATGATGTAAAAAGAGGCACCTGATCTATAGATATTTACCTAGTGTGCAGAATACTTGCAGGACAAACGCCAACAAGATAAATATATGTACTTTCATTATGTTAATCCACACGATTTGAAAGAAACCTGATTAAAGTAAGAGTGTTTTTGTTACGTTGGGCTTAAGTAGATCTTTTAAAAAATATTATATATAAATGTAAACTAATAGAATATTGGTAGGCCTACATTTAATAATGTTATATAAAAATTTAAAATTAAAATAACTGACGATTGCATCTCAATTCTGTTAGATCCGGGTGAAATCGATAAAATTGTTCAATGAATTCTAGAAATAGATTCAATAGGGTATTAATACTATAATTAGAAATGTAATCGGCTTCGGGTCAGCGTGGTTGAGTCGGTAAAGAGCATGGTTGCTAAATCGAAAATCAACTCCAAAATAAAACAACTGCTGCCTTGCATTTCTTTTATTGGTTGTGCAACGGCTTTAAAAGCAAATCCGAAAGGAAAAGCAGGCTAAGATCGGAGTCAACGGCTTAAATGGTGATAACAAGTTGACACTTAATACTTAACTGTGTTGGAGGGAATCACTTCCAACATAAATACATGAACGAAGAAGAATATAAAATGTCTCTACCTTTTGGGTGATGTGATGACAAGAACGTGTGCCTGCTATGTCACATTTCAACAACGCTGCGAGTTGTTGTGAAGTTATTGTTAAGGATGTCAAGGTCTATATTTCCTAGAAGTCGAACGGGCGTGTATTAATAGGAGCTAGAAACAATTACTTCTCGCTCCCAGTCGCTCATTTAAAAAAAAAAGAAACAGGATTTAACGTGAGCTGCGATTATTTTTATTTATTTTCACATCCAGGTCACAACGTCAAGTGGATGCACACACGTCTGTTCCGCAATTAGATGTTATACTCTTATGATAAATACTAGCGTGTGTTAACATGAAATTATACTTGAATTGTCCGACGCCTGATGTGTCCTGAAAAAACCCAGCCCTACACGGTTAAGTGGGTGCCGGGATAAGGCGTTTGACTGAAATAACTATTAAACATTATCGTATTGTGTTAAGGGCATGGGCGGGTGATGAGTACCAACTTCCTTATTTCCGAGTCTAAAGATGTAATACTTTGCTAATAGTTATAACTCAAAGAGATAAGCATAAAAATATTTTTTTAAATTTTTTAAATCCTCCGTTGCCATGGTGACGGCGGCCATATTGGATTTTATTGACGATTTTTAAATGGAAATAACTCAAAAATGGTTTGTACAAATTTCAAAAAAACTTAATACAGTCTGGAGATACATGTGTTTAACACTTCCTATTGAATACATTTTCAAAAAAGAAGATAGTTTATTTTTTACTTTTTTTTCCCATACATCACTGTAAAAAATTCATTATTTCGTCCAATTTTTTCACTATTTCAACAATAAAAAATTTTTTTAAAAAAAATTTCCAAAAGTGTTCAATACGTTTTATTTGAACATATATACAGAGTAACTGGAACAAATTTAGTTCAGTTCTGATAATTATTAACAAAGTTATTTCAATAATTGTTCACAAAAGTATCAAACTGAGAAAAACGCAAAAAACCAACAAAAAGTTGCAAAAAAAGAAAATTTACAGCTGTATGTCACTAAAATTGACCACATTTATTGCCTAAAGTATGGTGTTGCTGAATATATTCCTTCTGAGCTTGTTCAGCTGTTAGTTTCCTTTTTTTCTGGCTTTCTTTGTTTTACCTAGAGCTGTAGTAAAGCTGTTGCGAAGGCGTCTTTTTTGGCGTCCTTCACTGAGTCTTCGACTATGGTTTCCTTCTTTTGACAGCAATGCCATAGCATGCATGGGCCCAATACTGAATTATGCTATCGCAGAAACAGCAGTATATTTTGCATGGTCTCGTGTCTAAAGCCAATTATGATAAGACGATGTCTTTGTTTATTGTGAATGGCCTTGTTCTGGATTCTTTTGCAGTTGTATACTTACGGTTTACAACATTTTTTTTTACTGCCACACCATGCTTGAAGCAAACCCTTTACACTTTTTTCATCAATAGTAGCCACTACATCACAGTTACACTCTGGGCAAGGAAATGTATTGATAACATCAAGAAGCAAATCACAGTCGACAATAATTCTGCATGGCTGTTGTTTACAATTAGCACTACCATACTAGATGTAACAGTGCTTTCTTCTGTCTGTAAAAACTTTCTTACATTGCCGCAGCTTCTTAGTAAATGTGCATATTACATCTGCACCAGTGCTTGTCTGAATAGTGCTAGATTGAGTAGAGGTAGACTCTAGATGCAATCAGTTGCATTCGGACGTGCCCTTGCTTTAGTAAATTCGTTAGATGTGTGTATCTATTTTTAGCGAGTGTTTTGTTCTACCCATTATCGAAAGAGAAACAAACTGCTTATGATAATTCACACAAACTAATCTAAACTGTTAATAGTATATTTAATTTAAATAATTATATGTTAAAATAATGTAAGTATTTCACAGAAGCTTAGAGAAACAAAACTAGATCAAACTTAGCAACGCGCTGAAACTAAGGGAATGTTTACTTGCGAAGCGAAACGACCAATCGCAAACTAGCTTCCGCCGTTGAATGCCAATGAAAAAATTGAGGTCAAAAATTTGCATACCGGAAAAACCCGACTGAGTAAAATAAACAACTTTATGACGTAGAAAAATAATCACATTAAAATAGGTATTTTGATTGGTCCTTTAATTTTAGAACAAATAAAGAAAGGAGGTCACGGCCTTTCCATTGATATGAAACACATTAGGCTTCCGCAAAATCTAATAGTACTTTTCTAGGTCGAAAAATGGCTATTTTTACCGAAAAAGTGATCAAATTACCCTGAACACACTACTTTGAACCCGGTTTTTCATAAATAAATAATGTTTTCAGGCTCATAACAATGTCATTTTTAGATTCAACGATGGTTATTCTGTATAGATCAAGTAAAAGTGGGAAATCGATGATTTAGTGGATTTATGACGAAAAGTACACCCGCACAAAAGTACGGGACAGCAGCTAGTTAGAAGGCGGAAATAACGCAGTTTACAACGGTCTCGTCGGTAACATGTTTGATGATAAACAAAAAAGCAATACTTAACGCGCTCAGTAATCATCACATGACACATTTTTTTTTTTCAATTTAAGGGTAGGCCTAACTCATTTAACGCACCAAACGCGTGATCAACAAAAGCCATTACGTTAATATTTTCATAATTTTTTAACCAACCCCAAATATAACTAGAGAATGTCACACACAAAAATCAGGCGACCCTCCCGCCCTTTCACATCAATGACGTCAAACTTCAGCCACTATACCGATATCTTAAAATTTAAAAACCGATTATTACAGAAATCTTAGCAATTCCAAATCAAGATACGCGTGTTTACAAAATAACTGGTCAGATTTAGTTTGAGAATTTTCATTTTATAATGTCATACTCTAAAACTAAAATTTTATTACCCTTTCCGTTCGTTCGCCACATATCACATATCTTCTTGAAGGTCCACCTCCTACATTCCCGACTCCCCCCCCCCCCCCCCCCCCGTCGCGACATTTAAAAAAGCAAATTCTCGAATGTACGTTTAGTTAACTTTTGAACTAAGATAAAACATAACACACTTGTATCATTCATACGATATATATAACAGTCCCACAACACTAGTCGTGTAACTTGTTGGTTTATTGTTCTCGGGGAGCCAGTATCAATATCAGTTGACTTTGTTTCCCCCCACAAGTCTTGTTGCTACTTTCAGACGGTCTCTAGGGCAAGTGAAGTAGAGTTCACTTGTTTCCGTGAATATGAAGAGATAGTGTAGTCAGCACTATGCCCAGACGCCTTTACTTTCCCTAACAGGAGTTAGGTACCCATCAGAGTTCGGTGGACTCAGGGAAGGTATACTGACTTGAACCCGGATTCGAACTCAAGACTTACGGGTTAGCAGTCCAGCTCTCTACCGCTAGACCACCCCATCCCTCTTCAAGCTTAGTAGACAGTTAAAATATGCCATCATTTACACAGAATTCAATTAGAGCAACATGAAAAATGTAGGCTATCTTGTTCGTCCAGGCCGAGGAAACGAAAATTAACCTCGATTGACCACAGCCACACATATACAAACAAAAACTTACACATCTCTATAAGGCCTTAAATTAAAAAAAATATTCCCCCAACATACACATTTTTTCTAAATTTGAACAAAATGCGTGTTTTGGGGTGACTGTTATGGTGTAATGTTTTTGTATGTGTATTTGAATGTGTGGGTTCATTTTCTAATGTGTGTTTGAATGTGTGTACACAAATGAGTCTATGCTTGTGTATGTGTTGAATTTTTATGTGTTTTATTATTATTTTTTTGGAGGGAAGGGGGTGGTAGGTGGGGGACTAGAATGAATTATCAAGTGGTTGATTTGTAAGTGTTCTTGAAATGTAAAAAAAAATTGTTTGAAATAGAAAAGAATTTCAAATTTCCCATATTTTATAGATAACAGGATGTTAAAAGAAAAGAAAAAACGCTTTCGCTATCTATACTTGACACATTTTATAGAACACATTTCTCTCTCTACGTTTCCTGTGATAAGGATTTTGTATCTTTGTCAGAGCTTGTCACCGTACGGACTGATACGATGTACGATGAAGGGTTGCATTATGTGTTGGCTAGCCTTCGAATAAAGTTCAATAGCTTCAATGTTTTTCCAGTATTAGATGTTGTAATCACACACAAATAGGCCTGCTATTCATCCTATAGTTTTAAAGAGTAAATCCAAATTCTTTTTCATTATGTCGCAAACGTAATTGTATCCATTAAAAACATTTGTTTTATTATGCTTGGCGATTAGATTTTAGCGCGTAAGAAATTAAGCTGACTCACGTGTAATTTTACAAAATTGGCCTCATCAAATTTGTCATCACAGTTGAACTCCCCACCACCGAAGACTGCACTTCAAACACAACGGTTTGTGACTCAATGTTTTTGACTAAATTGGTAAACTGGTTGTGGACCTATAACCCAGAGTACGGCATTTCCATTTCAAAAATATAAAACCCAGAATACTATTTTAAAAAACTATAAAAAGAAAGAGTGGATCTCTTCCTAAATATTAGTAAAGTTATCTAATAGTTTATAAAGTGACCTACGATTTTCTTTAGTTATTTAAATAGTAATGTATCATAATAGATTTAAAGACGATCTTTATTTTATACTTTTTCGTACATTATTACATATAAACATGTTACTAAAACGTCGCTAATGCATTTTATAAAAACTTATTTCTGAATTGAAAAGAATATGATAAAGAGATGCCAGTCTCAACTGCTGAACATATTAAAACATTTTCAACTTTACAGCATTTTAATATTCTGAAGTAAAATAAAAATAAATCTCATGTTAAAAATGAATGGAAAAAGGCTTTTATTATATTTACAAATCACAAATAAAAAAACAAAACGATAATGTACTAAAAAAGAGAAAAAAAATGGTTTAGTGTAACCTTACTAAAGCTATTTTCTGGTATAACTAAAATTAAAAGCCATTGCTCTCAGTGCTAGAAATAGAATATAAGTCTTATATTATAGTAAAGAACGTAAACGAAACAAAATATATTCTTCAAAAGAATTTTAAAATATTTTATTTTATCCTGTTTATCTCCCCTTTCATTATTGAATATAGTATTTTTTAAATTAAATTGTCTATCCAATAAAAATCTTAATAAGATCAAAATTTAGATAAGCCTGATTTGTCATTAAAGATTTATTATTGTGCTAAATTTCAGCTTAATCAGACAATTGGAAGTAAGTAAAATTATTATTTCAAGATATACGAAACCGCACTCATTCTTAATGAACGTAAAAAAATCGCCTAAGTTGGTCAGTCCGTTAGTTGCAAAGTGAAAGATAAAATGAGGGGTCATAGGACCGCAGAGGGCGGAAGGGGGAGAGTGGACTTTTCGGTCCGACACAATTTTAACACAAAACTTGCAATACACCAACTACATTTTGATAGCTGACAGATAGAAAATACACTTTTACAAACCGAATAAATTTAGTTGTTATGCTTGATTTTTTCAGAACATAGGCCTACACTATAGAAAAAAGGTACGAAATGTATATGTCTAAATATCTACTTCTCTCCCTTTCTCTCCTTCTCTCTCTCTCTCTCTCTCTCTCTCTCTCTCTCTCTCTCTCTCTCTCTCTCTCTATATATATATATATATATATATATATACATACACACACACATATATATATATATATATATATATATATATATATATATATATATATATATATATACAAAAACATAAATCCGCATATATATATATATATATATACATTTATTTATATATATGTTTTATTATTATTAAACCATATCATGATTTGTTTGATAAAAAGTAACATTCCCTTCAAACCTCACGGTCTAAGGGGCAAGTGAAGTTCACATGCTTCTGTGACCTGTGTGATTAGCGTTGAGTTGGAGGATTTTATTTAATACATTTTCTGCAAATACTTAATTATTTTGTTAAAATTAAATAGTTTTAACTCAGTGACCCAAATAAAATGGCTGATTTTGATTACAATGCGCTATTAGGATTTTTCCAAAGTTCGTGTTATTTATATCGTACATGTTTGATACGTGTTATTAAAATTGTATTTAGAAAGAAATTAAATTCAACTGTGTTTATTATTTTGAAGTCCAATGAATGTATTTTATATAAAATGCAATAGAAAAAATTCCGTTTAACAGTAAAACAAATCGCTCAGAAGTAAATTCTTTAAAGTATTTTTGAAAAAAAAATAAACTTTAAATCTCACTCTGGTTTACAAACATAAAACACTTTGTCTTGAAAGCATAGCGAGTGTGGAATGGTATCATATTTGTCTGCATTTGGTCTTTTGACATGCTTTTCTTTATTTTTATAATAACAAATACCATGTGTTACAATTACAAAACTGAATAAGCATCCAGATAGCTTTCATACACATGTTCTGTTTCATTTGTATTTAGCTCCACATGTCGTACACGGTTGCCCTTGGTATTCTTCACATTGTCATATACGTTTTCCTGTTCTGGAAATGGAAAAAAAAGGTTATTAAAATTGTAACAACAATACGCTTTTGAATGAACTGAAAATTTAAAACAAAACCAATGTTATAAAAAGTTTTCTAGAATGAAAAAGTATTAAGTAACTGTATAATAATAAGTTTTCTAATTGCACTGAAAATAAGAAAATAAAACAGACGCTTTCTTTAAAATAAAAGCTTTTTTTATGCGCTATAATATTTAAGAAAGCTATTTTGTTTAATTTTCTTATCTTTAGTACATTTGAAAACTTATTTTAGTAAGGTTTCGAATATTTGTTTTATTTTAAAATTTAAAAAATTCGTTCTTAACGAGCTTGGTGCCAGATAGGCCAAGAATTGAAACTATTTGCGTCAAAAGCCCATCAGTAACGTTTAGTATATGAAATACTGTTTTTTTTTCACTTATTCACGCCTGAGGAAAAAAAAACCATCAGTGACAAAAACTTCACTATTGTAATGTAAACAAGTTTTAGACTGAGTTATTTCACCACGTTTACTAAATGATATATTTTAAAATTAAATCCCAATGACTAAATGCCAATCTAAATAGATTAAAAATCAGATATCATTGACCCGTCATAAGAAAAGTCGATAACTTAATTTCCATGACCGAATTTTCAACACTTAATGTCCATACCATATTGACCAAAACCTAACTTTTATGTCTCAGTGTACGTATACCAGCAAGCATTCAATTAAGTAGATAACTTTGTGTGTACTGTATCTAAAGCTTAATGATTTAAGCACTGCATTACGAATACCAAATTTAATTTTATGCTAGTATATTTTATCGTTTGGTTCTCTCTGCCTGTGCTGTTGTTTCCAGATTCCTTCAGATACCTACCGAATGACGGTGTTTTGCGACATTTTATAGCAATCACAAATGCAAGGACGGAAAACATGACCACAACACCAATGCCAGTACCGATGCCAATCCATTCAGATAATGAAAATGAAAGTGCAAGCATCTTTTCTGAAAGACAGACAATTCAATGACAATGTGTATATATGTGTGTACAATATACTTTACTAAGACATGTAAGCATATGCATATCTTTTTGATAAAACAACAGTTTTTTAATGCATTAATCTTCTTTTAATAATAGCACTAACAAAAACCTAACGTAAGAAAATAAAATCAAGAGCGAAATATTAATAGAGAAATACTTTCAGTGTAGTACAGAATAGCAAGGCAAAGAAGATAAGAAGTTTTATTATTTGTTTAATTCCTTGATCTTCAGATTTTTTAATAATTTAAAATGCAATAAATTGTATCATAAAACTGGTATCTATAGAAGCAAAAAAAAATCTGACATTTTAATTTCATACACTAATAATAGAAACTAAGCTTAGAAAATAATAACGAAAACTTGTTTTCAAAGACTAGATATACTAAACTTGTCCCTGAATAATTTCAGAATATAATTGTAGACCTGAGTAATTGTAAGAACGCTATCTGGACTACCATACATATTGACATAATCTGTTTTGCTCTATAAAAATTGTTCTGAATTATTGCATTTTGATCAAAAGGTAAAAAAAACAACGTTTTAGTCGGAACATAGTTTTGAACAACCACACCTGTTACAATTACAAATATATAATAGAATGACATAAAAATGGTTATCTTATTCGACACTTGAATAATCAAAAGCGTTAGATTTCACTTTCTAAAATGATAACATCACCATTTGTGGTCGATGATGTGGCAGTAGTTCCATTTGTGATCGATGATGTGGCTGTCGTTCCATTTGCGGTCGATGATGTCGCCGTCATTCCATTTGTGGTCGATGATGTCGCCGTCGTTCCTGTGGTTGTCACAGATGTAGTTGGATCTGTTTTTGAGCTCGTGGTTGTACCTGTAAATAAGGACAATAATAAAATTTTCATTTGAATTAAAACATACAAATGTAACAATAATGCTTAAAGCTGCAATTGAAAAAACAAATTGTAAAATTTCTATACTTGTAGAGGATCTATTTTGTTATATTTAATTTCTATTTGAGATCCAATAATAGGCTTTAAAAGTCTATGTACAATAGTATTTTTTAAAAATCTTTAAATATTTCATAAAAGTATACATAAATTTAAAAAAAATAAAGCTGTTTGTGACAATGACACTCATTTTCATATTTTTGCACTGAATTTAAGCCGTTAAAAAATGTACAATTATTTTATCAATTCATGACAAAATACACACAATTTGACAAAAGGCAGAACAATAGATCTTTTACTTATATATGTAATTTCATTTATCTATCTGAAATAGTACTCAAGTTATAGGCATTTGAAAAATTAAAAGTAGAAAAAGTTGCTATTCCGGTTCCCGGAAATCGCTGATAAGTTGAAACCGATCTACAAATTTAATATAATACTTATAAATGGAATTTCATCAACCTAGCTGTAACAGTACTCAAGTTATCGCGTTTACACACACACACACACACACATACACACACACACACATAACGACAAGATTGCACAACTATGTTTTTCCGACTCAGGGAGGTGTAAAACATCGAGATTTGCAAAAATTCTCGATTTTTTTTTCAATATTACAATACTTATTCTATACTTTGTATACGAGAAAGTAAAAATAAATTAGTAACTATGAGTTTGAATATTTCCATACTAAATATAACCGAAAGTCATTTTGTACTAATTTTTAAAATGTTATCAAATATTTTTCCATTCATAAATTAGGTTTATACTTCTTTTTTAAATTTAATGTGTACGTACATTTTATCAAACGTGTTTACATGGTCATTAGTAAATTTTATCTCTTTTTAAAATTTAAATTGAATACCGTTTTGTTAAACTGAATAAGCAATACAAATATCTGCATTTACAAGTCTTATGCATTCCATTTTTTCAGAATAGACATAATGTTATTATAAAGTAAATAGAACGAGGATGCCAAAAACAGACTATGCCCTATATATAAATAAATAAATAAATAAATAAAAAAAAAAAAAATATATATATATATATATATATATATATATATATATATATATATATATATATATATATATATATATATATATATATATATATATATATATAGGAATACAGAACGTATTACAATTTCGGCGTCTTTTTTTGCTATTTTCACTCCCACTACGTCGACGACCTGGATACGCCTCTGATAAGTATATTCATGAAAGTTTAAGGGGGAGATTACTCCCGCGTTATTAAATATTTAAGCGAGGCCTTAAAATAAAAAGCCGCCATGGTTGTTTGTTATCAATGGGAATAAAGTTCACAACAATTAATATTAAAATGTGAGAGCTTGATCTCGTAAGATGATCAAATAGAATAATGTGCATAAAAAGTGTGTGGTCGTGTTTTTACTTTCTCGTATGCAGAGTATAGAGAAAGTATTGTAATCGTGCACACAAATCACTTGAAATTGTTTACAGTTTTCACCGTTTTACTCCTCAGTCCTTCATCACATCCGGGGTATAGAGGACTTATTTTAATCAGACAAAAAGTATAAAGTATAAATCCAGATTTATCAAAATTTTATTTTATGCGCAATCGAGTCTGGAAAAACTGGGCATTGCAATTCTGTCCGTATGACTGTGTGTGTGTGTGTGTGTGTGTGTATGTCTGTAAACACGATAACTTGAGTACCGTTACAGCTAGGTTGATGAAATTTCATATATAAGTATAATATCAATGGAATAAAGTTCACAACAATTAATTAAGTTCGACTATTTTTATCTCTCCCTGGCAAACTAAATTTCCATTTTAAGTGAGTAATAACTTGCAAGCCCTATTAATTGATTTTTTCGACTTCACATTTGGTAAAAATCCAAAATATAGAAAACCAAAGTCAGTGTTATTAACATAACAACCCTTTAATCTATTTCTAACAATTAAAGTGATAACCACTTTTTTTTGCAACTGTTGTTCGTTAAGAAAACCTTTATATGTTTAATCTAAATCATTGATAGACTACAAAAATTCACTCCCGACTGCTACATTTGCATTAGATATTACACTTTTTTTATATTGCCATTTTCTCAATCTTAATTTGTATCTTTTTTTCTCATGTGTGATTTACAAACCGACAATACTTTGTGATCTGATTTTAAGAAAAATGCCTTTACGCTTATAATAACGAATTTTGTTTTTAATTTTCATGATAAGCTTGTCGGACATGTGTGATTTTTAACAATAAAAAAGACGTATAGGCCTAGGGTCTAAATATTTTAGTAAAGCTTACACCACAGTCAGTATCAATATTCTCAACGATCGTTTCGGGTGAAATTGCACTGGTGAAACTCATTATACCAATGTACTAGGCTGGCAAGCTATTCAGATCATGTTTTTATCTATATAACAATAGGCCTACATGTTTAAATTTAAAAAATGTGATATGATTGAAAAACTAAAAATCTTTCAAAATAAATAAAATGTATACCTACCATAAATTTCCATGCAAATAAAAGGGAAAGCATTAGAACACGCTTCATCGTTTAGTTTTTCCCATTTAAAAATGTCAAGACAGTCTTCGTTTACATCCTTATAATGGTTCGGTTCTCCAGGACGCCACATTGATGCTAGATTAGCCTTTGTACCATCTGTCCACAGCCATTCACCTTCTCGTAATCTATCAGTTGCTCCCAGCCACACTTATGGAAGATAGAATCTATATATCGCACACGTTGATACTGATAAAAACGTTTTGCGACCGACACTGTAAACTATGGGGTACGTCGTGGTCTAGCGGTAAGGTGCCATCCATAAATGACATTACGCTTTTTTGGCAATTTTTTTAACCCCCTCCCCCCCCCCTACGTCACACATCGTCAAAAAAAGTCACCCCCCCTAAAATGACGTCACACTCCTCCCCCCCCACCCCACCCTAATTTACAATTTATCTTATGTTTTAAATTTGCTGTGTTTTCATCCCTTTAAAATTACCGCTCGTTGTCAAGATTTTAATAATGCAGGACCCATTCGTGGCACCAGCAGGTAAACAGTAATACAGTGAGGTGATGTTAAAGTTGAAAGGATTACATTTTTTTTAAATACTTAATGTAAATGTAGGAATTTCTTGCAGACATGACGACACAAGTGAGAATAACAATATATTGAATATAATATGCAAATTATTTAAATGTTAGCACTGTGCCCATACCTTTAATTTTCCTAATATATTTCATTGTAGCCTATATGATGGACTTAACGGATGTCATATCTCACAAATCAATATAAATGTCATTAATTTTTAATAGGAAAAACTCTCCACTAAATTATTAAATTGCTTGTTTTGCTGTTAGCGAAGAGGATGTTGAAATAGGACAAGAAATACTCTCACACTGACTTAAATCTAAGCAAATTTTATATAAATTTTATTAATAGCTATTAAATAATAATATAAAGAAACAGGTTATACTTATAACTTAACCGACTATATCTATATACATTCATATTTCTAAATCTTAGCAAGATCATTAACAGAAGTATTAAAAAAACTACTTACAACATTATTAACATGGCAATCCTCGATTAAACGTTGTGATATTTAAGCTAATTCATTCTCCCATGGAGAATTATAATGTTCCTTCATTGAAGACACAGGGACGGAATTGATTTTTTCCCTGTATGGAATGGGAATTCCCTTTACATCAAGGTCTTCCTCTTCTATCCAATCTACACTCTCACCATTAATTTCATTGGTAAATATAACCATCAGTTCACGTTGGCGGCGTGCAGCAACTCTCAGAGGCCTGATGCGCTGTAATGGCACAATTGATGATTCCTGTTTGTGAGTTAAGGAATGATTGCGCAGCATAACCAATGAAGAGAAGTATGAGTGAGACTTTTTACAAACCCTGTCGCTGATCACGGATTGAATAGACAGACATTAAAAATCATAAGGGATTGTGCGATAAAGATTTGAAGAGCAGGGGAGGATTTCATCCACTTTTATACATTGAGCAGCAAAAAGAGATGTGAATTTATGTGAAGAGCTATCTGTTGAACGCTCAGGTATTGTTAGTCCACAGCTTGTTTGGGCGACTGGTAAAGGTGGAGGTAGAAATACGAGCTTCTTGGCTTTAAGCAAAATTTACCTTCCATGCATTTAACGATCTGAGTCAAATACTGGCTAGTTTTCACATGAGGATCGTGCCAACGCTGATCCTTTGAGAGCAGAGAAGTTTTAAGGAGTTCAGACTCTTCTGGATCTATGTATTCTGCCACTGTAGGAAATGTGTCCACTGTCAAGTGTGACCATATTTCTGCCAAAGTGTTTCCGGCAAATTGAAAATTCTTCTTCTCTAAATCTGTGTTATTGTGACCCCTCTTCCATCCAAAGGATTGCCGTAGTGGTCATAGGGTAAAACTAATCCTGTGAGCTCATTGCTAAGTGGCGCCTTTTTTCTTTCAACCCTATTAAATGCACTTTTTCCTGGTGCATTAGCAGCAATAAACAAACCGTCATAGTTCTGATTGAGAAAGTGGTGTACTCTGTAAACTTCTAAGAATAGCAAGCGGTACACTGATACCCCAGCCTTACTCTCACTTGTTGACATGCTTTCGACCTTTATTCAAATAGCACTATTGACAAATTTGCAAATACGACAGTCTACTACACAACATACTTCGTCAAATTATAGGGCAATTTAATTAGAACAACGATATATTTCACAACCTATTGACAACTTTCACAACAGTATACATTTTGTTAGAAGTATCGCAACTAATGTAAAAAAAATATTCAGCATTTAGTAAATGTATTTTTCTAAAAAATAAAAAAAAATGCATGTTAATCAATTCGGTGAATTAAGACAACGTGACGTCACACTGTCTCTACCCCCGCCCCCCCCCTCGTCACACATCGTAACAAAAGTCTGAACCCCCTCCCCTCCGAGGTGTGTGACGTCATTTATGGACGAGCCCTAAAGTGCTAGGCTGCTAACCCATAAAGTGTTAAGAGTTTGAATCCCGGTTTAAGTGAGTAGAACGTCCCTGAGTCTAACCAGCTGTTATAGGTAACCAACTGACGTTAGGGAAAGTAAAGTCGGCTGGGCATAGTGCTGACCACGTTTTCAATTCACGTGCCGAGATGAAGAAACACATTGACTCTACTTCATTTTCTTAATAAATCGCTAATGGGAAATCTCTACGTTTGTATGTCAAAAGACTGACATACAAATAGCCAAAATGCCTGATAGACCATACGGCCGAAAAGCAATAAGGCCGACAATCCAAAAGACTGACACACATAAAAATACTAATATTGCAAAATATGTGTTTCTGCATAGCTTCTATCTAGACAACCATCGAAATAAGGCTTGAAATGCGAATGTAATAAAGAAACGTTGTTAATTTCTTTACTTATAAGTTGAATCATCGGATCCAAGTAACTGGAGATAAACACATGAATCAACACCTGAATATTGCAAAATGCGGTCACTACTGTCTTTAATAGCTCTTTCTATGTCAACGAGGTGAGACAACCATTAAAAAACCAAGTCCAAGAATAATCGCCCACATGCAGCAAGGTGGAACACGAAGAGACAATTACTATCGTTATAAGGAGAACAATCGGCTCCATGCGACTGGGGATGACAGTGGTATACAAAATATCAAAATGTAGGTGGCCTTATCACCATATTTCTAAATTATCTAAATGGTATTCTAATGGGATACACGAAACACTGTTGAGGAGTGGCACGGAAGTTGTCAGGTATTCGTTGTGTTTGTGTTGTGTTGTGTTTTGGTTGTGTTGTTTTTATGTGAGTGTTGTTTTTGTGTTTTATTTGTGTTGTGTTTATGTAGTGTTTGCGTTGTGTTTGTGTTGTGTTTGTGTTTGTGTTGTGTTTGTATTGTGTTTGTGTTGTGTTTGTGTTGTGTTTATGTTGGATTTGTGTTGTGTTTGTGATTAAGTTTTCTTTTGTTTGCGTTTGTATTTAGTTTTGTTCTTTTTTAAAAGTTGGTTACCTGACTTACATTATGGAAAGTAAAAGTGGCTGGGCATAGTGCTGACCACATTGTGTGTTCGTACGTCGAGGTCATTTAAATAGGTCATTTCTACTTCACCTGCCCTATGGACTGTCAGAATCTAAATTGTGTTTAAGTGAATTAGTGTTAAATATATGCAAAACTAAGAGGTTCGCCCCCCCCCCCCCAGAACTTGTAAAGTGACCACCCCTCACCGTTAAAAAATGTTTGAATAAAATACGGGCAGTTCCGGGAAGCTCTTTGTTGCTCAGAGTGACAATATCCTGTGGACGCCGGAGGACTACTCGTAGTTTGACCGCTAATTTACAGTACCCCTAACACCCTGAGTTTGTTCGCTGGCTGGCTGGGATGTAAGCTATCTGGGTACTCTAAACAGCCACAGATCCAGGTCATTACGGGACGTACTTTATAATTACATACCTCTTGTATCACCTGTAATAGGAGTGTTCTTTGGTCTGAGAGAATTGAGGAAGTCCAACACAGACGGTGAAGAAACTTTGGCCAGGCTCCTTGTTCCATTGAAACGTGCGCAGTGTTCCTGTAAAAAATTAATTAAAGTTCCAATGTTTTTATTATTTTTAAAGGTCTAATTTTTATCGCGAGAAATGTAACCGTTTATTTTTTAACTATAAAATAATTGATCATGTAGTTATAATTTAATACTGTCAAATGTGTTGACTGTAACTACAAATACCCTAAACATTTACATTACCTGCGCTTGATCCCAGTTCATATTTGTTGGGAAAAACTCATAGCAGTTGCCTTGAAACTCCTTAGCCGTTTTGCTGATACACGTTGCTGTTTTAGAGTAAAATACAATAAACAGATTTAATTGGTATTTGAACAGATATTTTATTAACAAAAACTGTATCTGCAGCTAAATTAATTAAAGACACTGTCGTCAATTTAGTGCTTTTTTTACTTTCTCGTTACGAAGTATAGAGGAATTATTGTAATCGTGAAAAAATCGAAGTCGATATTTTCAGAAATCTCGATGTTTTACACCTTCATGGGTCGGAGAAAACATAATTTTGTAATTGTGTCCGTATGTATGTATGCGTGTGTGTGTGTGTGTCTGTGTCTGTGTGTCTGTTAACACGATAACTTAAGCACCGTTACAGCTAGGTTGAGGAAATTTCATGTATAAGTATTATATTAAAAGCGTAGTTCTGTATCGACTTTTCAACGATTTCCGATAACCGGAAATGTAACTTATTCTACTTTGGGGTTTTCTAATACGTATAACTTAGGTACTGTTTCATATAAATTAACAAAATTTCACATATAAGAAAAAGTTGTAATTATTCTCTGCTGTCTGTTAAATTTTGAGAATTTGCCGTTGACCGGTAGTAGTACTCTACGCATTTTGCGAATTCTCAAAATACAAAATATATAAAGTACTAATATTCCGCACTTTTTTACACACATTGTTTGCTGTTTTGCTTGGTGCGCAAGACTTTTTTCTATGAGTTTCTATTCTATTTTCAAAAGTTTAAAAATTTAAAACTGATTAAAAAAAACCATGTATATATCACGAGTTGCCATCCCCCGTAGTGTTATATAAGTATATATTTCAGAAAGTTTAGAGGAGTACACTCCGTCTTTATTACATCTTGTAACTTTGAAATACACAATCTGAAACAGGAATGCATATTCCATTTCTTAATAAATTAAACAGAAAAATGTGTAAATAAACATGGAATTACAACATTTTTTGTGCTAAACAAGAAACTAAACAGTAATAATCTCGACATATGCTATAAACCCAACATACACTAAATACTTATTAGATTGGCCATTACGACTGTGCAACTAAGGATTTCGGTCGATCTTTAGTTATAACTCCGCATGTATCACCACACGACACTACATTGCTCTAACACAGGCAGTGAAACCTTCAAGCGAATTAAAACCAAACTCTTAACTGCAATACCACAATATCTACCGAATAGAGGAAACTAATTAACAGCAGGCGGAAGGCTGGAGTAAGTGTTAAGATAAAATCACCCAATTGTGACCTACTTAGGTCTTCTTTTTTAAATAATTTAATGTTATAAATATTTTAATTACCTTGAGCTATCTGTTGTTTAAACTATGATATTGTGATAGTTCTATCTGTTGTGATGATATTCACAACTGTGTTACTCATGTGTTGGCTCCATCCCACAATAGTCCTTAACCTTGGAGTCAATATCCGATAATTTCAGGGTAGTATAAAAAGGCGGAATTTTCCAAAAACGAGGCGCACAAGATTCCTAGAGGGAAGCCACGGCTCATAGCAACCATGTTGAGTTAAGCCGTAATTTACATATATTTCAGTAGTAGTCAGTTTCTGATTTTTCATAGTAAAGGTTGTGATAGTTAGAAATTTTACTAAGTGTTTATTGTAGAAAGACGTGTTTGTGATTTCCATGATATTGTAAGTTGGGTTTTGAATTATTGTATTTTATTATTTAGCCTTGTTTCCTTTTAAGAAGGATTCTAATTTGATTAAACGTTTTATTGGTTTAAGATGGTCTTTGTATTTATATTTATATTTAACCCTAGACATTAGATTTCGAGTTTACGAAAAGTTTTTGTTTCTAGTAATCCTTTATAGTTTCTTATAATTCATCAGTCTAGAACCATCCCAAAAGAATCCTGGTGTTGCGTAATATTTATCAGTTCTACAGTTACGTAACATAATGAAGAGACGAAAGATTCATTTTACACCGGAGCTTTTCTATATTACTAAAATGCTTCACGATAAACCATCGTAAAGGCAATGATCTCGCTTAAACGTTCTCGTATTTTCATATACATCATTATGGGAGATGGCGCTTCAAGTGAAATCTGAATATATAAATGTTTCATTTTATATGTTTTTTACTTAAAAAGAAAAAGGAAACATTGATTAATTAATAAAAAGTTAAACATCTAATTAAATAACATTTTATGTCACAGTTCAATATCATTGAATCTTTGGTCCTAGGTGCTTTGACCACAGGTTCTTTGACCATAGGGGGTTTGACCATAGGGGGTTTGACCATAAGGGCTTTGGCCACAGCGGAGCTTTAACCACAGAGGGGGTACCCCAAATATATATATTTTAACATTGAAATTATAAACTGTTATTTGATTTAAATTTATGATATAATTAATACGATTTCATACATTTTTCCTTATAGTCCAATAATAGAAATAGAAATAAACGTACTAAAAGAGTCAAGAACGATATGTTAGTCTCCACATAAAGGCTGGTGCTACGCCTTATGGAATTTATTTTAAATGTAAATCGAACACAAATAATCCGACATCTAATAATTTTCACAAATAAACAATGTAGATGTACTTGGAAATACTTAAAAATAAAGAATAACCAAGGATAAAAATACATGCCAACAATATAGTCAAAGAAGTGATCCTTGTATGGTTTAGATGAATTGTATTTATACATGATGAATTAACTTATTATTACATCATGCCTCAATTTGAAATATAATTACAAAACTTTTATAATTAATTCATACCATATATGGACGAAGCGCTTGTTATTAAACGCCAGCATTGGACAAACCACCTGTGGTCAAAGACCCTATGTGGACAAAAAAAAATTTGATCAAAAACCCTATATGGACAAAACACCTGTTGTCAAAGCCGGACAAAGCGCTTGTGATCAAACATCCGTTGAGAAACCACCTGTGATCAAAGACCCTCTGCTGAGAAAACACCTGTTATCAAACCCCCTATGGTCAAACCCCCTATGGTCAAAGCTCCGTTATGGTCAAAGCCCCGCTGTGGTCAAAACCCCTATGGTCAAACCACCTATGGTCAAAGACCCTCTGTGGTCAAACCACCGATGGTAAAACCCCCTATGGTCAAAGCACCTGTGGTCAAAGGTCCGCGCACCGAATCTTTACATACATGAAAAAAATGAATATAAGAATTGTATAACTATGTATAAAGTTTTGTTCACCTAAAGGAAACGGTACTAAAGTTATCGGTATTTTGGAAACATGAACTAGTGTAAAATACCACTCCTGATTTAAAATAATCTAAGTATAAGATCCTATACTTAAATATCTAAAACAGTGCTCACGGTAAATTGCTCACATAGTTACCAGAAATCGTTCAAAAGTTGATAGAATAATACACGGACAATTAAATAATTATTTATGACATTTCATTTACCTAACTTAAACGACGCTCTAGGTATTGGCCTTTAAATAAACCGGAAGTAAAGTATATACCGCTTCCGGATATTGAAAATTCTTGAAAAGATGATACACAACTACTGACTTGATATAATACTTATTTGTGAAATTTTGTCAACGTAACTGAAACAGTACTTAAATAATAACCGTGTAAGCTTACCAGACACCACTCCTCATTTATCTTACCCCACATAAACACATACATATTTCACAGTCTGAGTAGACCAAACCCCAAATCACCACACTCAAATTTAAGTAGATGTAGCTAGAAGAGACACATGGTTATAGATATTTACCGTGTGTGCATACTATTTGAAGGACGACAGCCAACGAGATACATATATGTAACTTCATTGGGTTGATCAACAATATACTGATTCCAATGAAACCTGATAAAATAAAGAGTTTTTTTGTTAAGCTGGGCTTAAATAATCTTTAACAAAACATTACACACTTATTATACACTAATACAATATTTATACATTTTATAATGTCAAATTACAATTTAAAATTGAAATAATGACTATTTCTAATCGAGAACTAATTAGCAATACACAATTTAGGTTATTGTCTGATTAAATATATATATATATATATATATATATATATATATATATATATATATATATATAATTTATATATAAATTATATATACAGCACTAGTCTGGTGTGCATATATATATATATATATATATATATATATGTATATATATATATATATATATATATATATATTGTTCACTCGTAAATTATATTTATTATTACTACCAATATTCAATGTGCAGTGCATAGTGCTTTATAGCTTATTACTATTCATTTTTTTGTCTAAAATTATTTTTGATTTATGATCTCAAATATAGAAAGCCGGATGAAATTTCGAAAATAGTTCAATAAATTGCAGAAATACATCGATTAGGACATACATACTATAATTAGAAGATGGAATCGGCTATGGGTGGGCGTGGTTGAGTCGGTAAAGCTTATGGTTGCTAAACCGAAAAGTAGCTCCTTAATTAAACAACTGCTGCCTTGTAGTTTGTTATTGGTAGGGCAAAGGCTATGGAAGCAAATCCAAAAAGAAAAGCAGGCTGAAATAGTCCACGGCCTATATGGCACATAACAACTTGACAAGTAATACTTAACTGTTTTGAAGAAAATCCTTTCCAACGTAAAAATAAATAGGATTTAGAAACACTTATTCATCGCTCATAGCCACTCATTAAAAACAGAAAAAGGATTTAAATTTAACGAGAGATGCTTCAGACGCTTCCGCGATATCTTTAAATTTCAACAGACATTAATATAGGAAATTTTAGCAAATACAGAGGCGTAGCGAGCAGGGTTGGGGGGGGGGAGATAGAGGAGAATGCGGACCATAACAACACAAGTGACACCATTTATGGGGACACCAATGCAAAAAAGCAATATATATATATATATATATATATATATATATATATATATATATATATATATATATATATATATATATATATATATATATATATATATAAATGTGGTTGGCCACAAATGCCATAAACTGACCTCGCCAGACCGGATACTTAAAAGAGCTACATAAAAATGCCCCCTAAGAACCTCTTCATAACTCCTGAGGTCGTAGACCGACCCTCGGGGTAGAAAAAAATATATTCGTGAAAACACTAGAACGTTAGAAGTGAACGGTCCGAATTTTCCTTATATAACATTTTTTAGTTTAGTAAAAAATGATGACTGTTTTCAAAACAATTTTTAAATTTCTTTGGCTCTGTACATCTGCCTTATTTTTTTCTATACACCTGTGTAAATGCATCGGCCTTATGGATAAACTATCGGTCATCCTCTGCTCGCACGACGATGGCTAAAAAGTTACACAAGTTAAAAATTCTCCTTATGTGGGATACACATCAAACAATTTCCCCACTTAGGAACCCTTTTAAAACACTTGAGGTTGTACATCCGGCAAAGAGAGTCAGAAAAAAAAATGTTGCCACCCTCGGGAAAACCCCGGAACAATGTTTGAACTGACCATATGCCATATTTCCTTTTATAAACATAGTACGGTTATTTTAAAAAAATACAAAAATCTGGACGTACGAACCCAATACTAACTCCTGAGAACGAAGGAATACCCGCGGGGGTAACTAAACAATAGGCGTTATCTTCTGGAAAACTTTGGTAGGCTTTTAGAATTCAGGGGCGGGGTCCACGGCTGAATTTATATATATATATATATATATATATATATATATATATATATATATATATATATATATATATATATATATATGTATATATATATATATATATACACTAGCGTACCCGTCCCCGCGCGTTGCCGCGGAAAATAGAAGAAAGTCCGACGAAATATATAAGATGGGTTTCATTCATCATATATTCTTAGACGCGTGACCTTGTTTTCTAAAAGTTAGTTATTTAAATGTAAACAATGCCCGCGCTTGGATCATAAATATTGTGACACGGGTCTACCTACACTACTTCGAACTTGAGACTATTCGGTTTAGCAAACATGAGGTTTACCGACTCGACCACACCGACCACTAGTTAATTTTTCTGCTTATTAAAATGAAACGTATTACAGAGCCCTCAGCGGCCTGGGTGAGCCTTTGGGTGCCGAAACTGAAATTTATGTTCGCAGCCTAATCGTACCATACCGGGTCGCCGGTGACATGCCTGATTCAATTTGGATTAATGTATTGATTAAAATGTGCTATAATGAAGCTAATAAACACCTAGAAGTTAAACACATTTAGTTTCTGCATGACGAACGGGGGGAAAAGTCCGGGGGGGTAATTTCCGGGGGGGGGGGGGGTAATGTCCTGTAGCCATATATATATATATATATATATATATATATATATATATATATATATATATATATATATATATATATATATATATATATATATTTATATATATTTATTTATTTATTTATTTATTTATATATATATATATATTCCCTATATAATGTGTTATTTGGTAAAGGAATCGAATACTAGTAGCGTCGAACTACATCACTGTGTAAGTGAGACATCTGATCCAAAGCGGGAAGTTAAATACAAACCGGATAAAACAAAAGTTACGCACAAGTGGAGAGAAGCCACGAATGTTGACATAGGTGGCGTATACAAAACAGAGTGACAATGTGAATTTGCTCTGTTGAAAATTATTACCACTTGAGACTCTTTACATTAGTTTCTGTATCAACCAAGAGTTAAGCTTCTTTTCTGTATTCGCCACCACACGTCGACGCTAACATAGCTATCCTTTTGTAGTACAGTTTGTGTATCTGAATGAATAGTCTTTCAACGTATTGCTCACACATGCCTTTTCAATACTAAGAACAATATAGCTATGTTTCATAGGTAGTTGTAGTTGGGGCTAGGGTTAGGGTCAGTGTTCTTCCTGCATACGGGGTGTAATTACCCTGGGGGTAGTAGATAAAGGGAGGATATCAAAGGGGAAGGGGTGGAGGGGAATTGACTGTATGGGTTGCGTAATATCCTTAACCCAGATTCAAATGTGTGTTAATGTTATTTGTCAGCATTGACTTTAAATCGACTGTTTTAGAATATCGCAATTTAAATTTGATGCACACAGACATAAAGCACGAGGACGGCATTACACACGTCATTGCCTCCACTGGTTCGTGCCATCACTCAACACACATCCTGGTAAGCCGGAAATAATTCATACATTCTGCTGTATATTATTATAAAATAAAAGTTTATCGCGCACAATTATTCCTAGTTGTATTATAGAAGAGGTACACCAACATTGTGAATTTGTACTTATTTTTTTTATATAATACAAAAATTACAGTAGGAATTATATATATTTTCTAATGACATATTTAATTTAATATTTAACTTATTGTATATTTTTACAGTGAAGAGTAAAGATGCCAGAATACTATTTATTTGTTTGTACAATTTCAGACAAACCCGCTGAGCTGATGGTGTTGACTCGTCAAGACCTCCGTAGTTATGACCTGGATACTTTAGAATACAAAACACTTCTGAACAAATCTCTCGGTGGAGCTGTTGGTCTGGACTTTGACTACAGAGATAGCTCTATCTATTGGACTGATATTCTATCTCATAACATTTTTATTTAAGATAGACTTTAATGCATTTTACATTTTGTGAAAATTTTAGAACTGCACATTGTCTCAGGCTGATTCGATATTGACAGCAGTTTACTTTTTTAAAAATTATTTTGCTATTAATCCATCACAAACATATTACAGGACTAATCTTCACACTGCAAAATATGAAATAAAAACAATTATTGAAGATGTTCAAACTCCAGATGGTATCGCTTTTGACTGGGTCCATCGTAATCTTTATTACACTGATAATGAGTACAATACGATCGAGGTATCTTGCCTGGATGGCAGCCACCGTAAGACACGCATCAGTGATGATCTTGTTCAACCAAGGGAATTGGCTGTAGATCCTGAAAATGGGTACGTTTGGTAGACATTTTTAAAAGAACAATGTAATATGATATTGTCTGAAAAATCAATTTTTTTCTCAACAATAAAATCTTAACAATTTTGTCAAACAGTTGGATCTACTGCACAGTCTTGGGCGAAGCTCTTAAAATTGAAAAATCTGTTATTGATGGACAAGAGAGGAAGGCAATTGTAACTCAACATATTGTATGGCCAAATCGACTCACTATTGGTGTGTACTTAAGAATATATGTGTATGTTTATGCAAAATAAAAAACATTTTTTTAGATTGAAGTTTAGATTTAGATTTTTTTTTTACAAGCTTAAACCGTATCAAATAGTTCACCATTAGCAACTAAGCAAATGAAATAAATGTCAGACTACCTTTAACAACGTTTGTACTGGGTTGATGGTAAGACGATTGCCAGCTGCAATTTTGATGCGGGAAGATCGTAAAATCATCTTCATCCAAGATCCAGTTCTCAAACACCTTATCAGCATTACTTTGTTTGGAGACAACCTCTTCTGGACTGATTGAACGTCCAATGCTGCACATAAAGTGAACACATTTGGCAAGGAAGCTGCAATCACCATAGCTGCAAACCTCAGCCAACCTGTGCGAGTGCAGGTCTACCATATCTCCAGACAGCCGATAGGTAAGTTGTTTTTGGTAAGACAGTAGAGCCTTTCCGACATGACCCTAAAAAAGTAATGCTTCCAATATAATAGCGTCACAATTCAGTTTTCCACTAATTTCTTTAAAAAAAAATCTATTTTCGTTTATTTTATTTTTTTAATATTATCTGAGCTGTCTTGTTAAATTCTGGGATATTGTGATGGTTTTTTTTTGTATGTATTATATATAATATCTATTCTGAATACTTCTATTATTAATACTACAACCAACTATACCCGAGTGTAGGAGGACGTGAAACACTTTTTTTCCGACGACAATAATAAACAATGTCAACAACTTCGTTAATGAAATAGCATTAACTTTATTATCACACAGTTATAATATCTATTACACAATATCAAAATACGTCCTTTTCCTATAATAACTAGCCCCCAACTAACTTCACTGCGTCCTACGTCATCGGTAACATTGTCGCGTCATGCTCACGTCATACTCACGCCACAAATATTTTATTAAACACGCGCAAAATACTCTGGTACCAAATCGTCTACAGTCAAGTTCACACTGTCCTCAGTAACCTCTACTAGTCTAGTATAATTCTATATATCTACGCTATGACAGATATAGCCAATGAAACAATATTAAATATTATTATTACTATTTTCTGGATAGATTGTTTTGGGAAAACATAGCTAATCGACATTTATTACTGAATTTAATCCCCTAAAAATATTTCTTTTAAATTTAAAAACAAAATATTAACTGAGTTGTCTACCTAAATTACGGGACATAACCAACAAAATAAAGAAATTTAATCATTATTATTACTATGTTAACTATTTACTAGCTAGAATGTTTCGGGAAAACATGGCTAATCGACATTTAATACTGAAACATTTAGAAAATCATTGATCAAGTTGTTTTTTACAAAGGGTGAATAAAATGTAAAATTATTATTTTTACCGTCCATTCCTTTCGCCAACCAGGCGTACTGACATATTTGAGTGCTATTTGGTGAGCAATAAAACTAATACTCCTCTAACTATAATTTTTGCATGCCATTTCGAATGAATTTTATCATTATTATGCACTATGTATTTTCTAATAAATCTACAGCTTTTTAGTATCAAAAGTAGCTGTATCATAATGTATGCTCATTTTCTGATTAATAATAAATCTAGTAATAAATCCTACTTAATGAACACAAAATGCAAACTGTTGTTGAGATTCAGGGCTCAAAGTAAACTTGTCATAACAAAAATGCCATTGATTTTACCACACATTTAATTAGCAAATAACAACTTATTATTAAAAGACAAAACAACCTGTTTAAAAAACAACTTTGGACAAAGCCCTTGTTGTCAAACCTCTTCTGATGACAATCAGTGTTTCTTCCAGACTTTTTTCTCCGGGGGGGGGCACTTAAAATTTTCGGGGGGGCGGTAGACTTTCTTCGGGGGGGGGAGGGGGCGGACACTGTTAAATGTATATATTTTCTATATAAATTATATAAATTTCATTTTGTTCGGGGGGGGGGGGGGGGGGCGGTAAAAATTTTTCGGGGGGGGGGCGAAGCCCCCCCGAAGAGATGCCTGAAAGAAACTCTGATGACAATCCTACTCCGTCCACAAGCTACGTGTGAACAAAACACTTCTAGTCGAGGCCGCGACCGATTGTCAAACCACCTATGAGCAAATTCTCGAAGTATACTTGAACGAATTATGTTTGCCCGAAAGCCGTCTCTCTTAACATACCAGCTTCTCTCAACAGACCAGCCTCTCTCAACAGACCAGTCCTATCACACAATAGACCTGCTTCTCTCAACAGACCAGCCTCTATCAACAGACCAGCCTCTATCAACAGACCAGCCTCTCAAATATCAGCCTCTCTCAACAGACTAGCCTCTCTCAAAAGACCAGACTCTCTCAACAGACCATTCTTACCATACCAGACACAAGCATCCCTAAATTGACTAATCTTAAAGACGCCAGTATCTCTTAAAAGACTAGTCTTACCATACAACACTTCAGCATCTCTCAACAGACCAGTCTTACCATACAAGACATCACATCAGCATCTCTCAACAGACCAGCCTTTCACAACAGACCAGTCGTAACATACAAAAGACCAAACTCTCTTGAATAACCAATCTTACCATACAGGACACCAGAATATCTCAACAATATAGCCTAACCCTCTAAGAAACCAGTAACTCTCAATAGACCATTCTTGCCATACAAGAGACCAGTCTCTCTCAGCAGACCAGTCGCAAGTGTAAACGCGGTATAAAGAAAATGTAATTTGTATTTATTAACTTATTCGGCTGCAGTTAGTTTAAATGGTTCACAAAACGTATTTAAGTTCTTCTAGAGTCTTTAAAACACTGCTGATGATTGTATGCTTGTTCACATTAAATCTATATTCTAAAAATTTCAACAAGCATGATCTTCCAAAAAGAGAAACCACTTGTCTATATAGCCGCATCGTTGTTTTAGCGCGTAGCCAAGTATTTAACTGAGGGAAATAATCGATAAATCGGTTGCAAGGAACTTTAGGTTTTTTAAAATTAATTGTCCGTATAAATTTTGTCATACGTTAAAAATAATACCAATAACATAATATAATTAGTAATCATATAGTATAACTATAATAATTTAATATTGATATTAATTACATCAATTGGGTTATTGGCCTTGCGTGCCTTTTGAAATATAGTTTAAATATGGCTCATAACTTGTTTTCAGTTTCAAGCCCGCCTCTATATTTTTATTAGTTAGTTGGCTTCTTACTTTATGTTTTATATATTCATGAAAGAGAACTCTTGTTAGCACGAATATGTTGACCTAAAGATCGTCAGCACTCCAGATGTCAACTTCTCCACCTTACTGTGGCATCCTGCAAGACTATTCCATGCGTCACATACGAGTGCCTCAACTTGCGGCATTTCTTTTAGAGCTGTCCAGTTGTGCAGCAGAAAGTGCATGCTTTTGTGGACCTCAAACTCTCTTACTTGCTCTTGAGTTATGTGAACTTACCGCTCCACAAATGTGTCGTTTTCAAATCCAGCAATTTTATTTGAAGCGAACCAGCATCCAGTAGCGTAGCGAGGGGGGGGCGGGGGGGGACATATGTCCCCGGGCGCCGACCTTAGAGGGGGCGCTAAATTGAAAGTTTGAGGGGGGATGCAAATGAAAAGTTCGAGGGGGGGGGGGGGTGCAAATCGAAAGTTTGAGGGGGGGGGTGCAAATGAAAAGTTCGAGGGGGGTGCAAATCGAAAGTTTGAGGGGGGGGGGGGGTGCAAATGAAAAGTTCGAGGGGGTGGGGGTGCAAATCGAAAGTTTGAGGGGGGGGGTGCAAATGAAAAGTTCGAGGGGGGGTGCAAATCGAAAATTTGCTCCCAAGGGGGCGCCAAATTGAAAGTATGTCCCCGGGCGCCGGGAAGGGTCGCTACGCCTCTGCCAGCATCAATTGAAAAAGCTCAATGTTGATCTCATTTGTTTTTGTGTTGTGTGGATCTACTATGAACGCCATTTATTTGCATTTATTTTATTTTGAATTGCTCAGATCTCTCAGTGAAACATCCCTCATTGTGTTGTAGTAATGCTGAAGTGATTCATGATAATTGGTTATCATTGGTTATCACGATATTTTTTTTCAGATTTTTCGAAATTAAATAATTTACCGCTCTCAGAGTCTTCAAAAAACAAGTATTTTTTTTAGAAACAATTCACTTCTTCAAGCAAGGCATAGGCTGGGTTTTTCTTTCCTTGTACTTGTACTATTATCTTGCTTAATGTTTTTTGTGATATCCGCCATGACGTTGAATTTTCCAATTCGGGATGGACACTTTGATAGGAAGTTCACTACATTGCACTTGCGCGGTTTATAGGCGCCCATGGCTTGCGACATGAACGCTTGGACCACGCACCTTGACACCACGCCCAAGTATCTGGGACCCGGTCGGACAAAGCAACATCTACCAGGGCGGGTAGTGCGATGTACTGTACCGTGTGTTCACAACAGATTAAACAGTATTCTTTTGCCTATTAATTTATATTTAAATACGTGTTTTTACTAACGAACTTACATGCGTAATCCAAATATTTACTGCATGTTTCGATGTATACATTTTATTAATTATTTTATTTTTTAAATAATTTAACTAAGTAGTTGGAGGTCATCCATACATGACGTCACGCTTTTTTGATGATTTTTACCTCCCCCTCCCCTCCGTCACACATTGACACAAAAAGCCAGACTCCCACCCCTAAAATGACGTCACACTTCAGCCTGCAACACCCCTTAAAATTGCTGTTGAATTTTTCTTAAAACATCGATATTTTTCCAAAATCTTGTCTGAACTGAAATCAATTCCTATTGCAATTTATTAAAACAGTTTTCTAAAAGCCGATATAACGTCTAAAATTAGTTTTCTAACATGGCTTTTTTATAATGCAAAAGTGTGACGTCGCACCATTTGAACCCCCACCCCCCAACTCCCTCTCATCACACACCGTCGCAAAATTACGGACCCCCCACCTCCCCCTCATCACACACCGTCACAAAATTACGGACCCCCACCTCCCCCTCATCACACACCGTCACAAAATTACGGACCCCCCTACCCCTACGAGTGTGACGTCATTTATGGACGACCCCTTGCACAATACGACATAATTTGACTAGAATTATTTCGGAACGTCTTTATCCAATCTGCTTTAGCTAAACAAGGTTAAGCCGTGTAAAGTAAAGTACCATTTCAAAATTCGGAATTTGAGGATATAGTAGGGTTAATACAAGAACCTGGAATCTGAACTCTAGTTCCGGAACTCGACCCTGCTATCTCGTGGGCAGATGTTAGTGTGATTAATCAATAAGCATATCTTAAAGTCGTGGTAGTCATAGTAGCGGGCAAATGTTGATTACAATCCGCAAAACAGTTTTAATTAAAAATAAATTATAAAATGTGTATTAGTTGTATCGTAAATAACTGCTACACTTTTAAAATATATAGAGAATTTTAATGTGTTACAATTTTACAAATATAAGCAAGTTATTCATTGTTAAACTTAACATTCCTATATAATAATTACTAAAGAAAATTGTGATTTACAAGTTAACGTTAAGAAATATGTTGAATATAATTAGGACTTGAAATATCTATACATTTCTATTTAGTTTTCAAAAATTAAAATACTTTTTGTTGATTGCAAAGAAAGTAGGTAATAACCTCATATTTTGACATTTATATTACATGATTGTAATATAAATGCTAGCTATTAATACAACAACCACCCTGTTCGTCTAGAGTTTCTGTATACACTTTTGCTTCACTAGCGGTACACACTAGGCCTTGGTCGTTGTCGTTGTCGTGAAAAACGTTTTGTTCTAGAAGAGAAATATAGGTACCATTCTTATACAATAAGACAATATAACAAAAATGATCTTACTTTAACCAGTGTCGGCCACCCCTGAAATTTAAGTGCGCTACCCCCTCGAGAAAGTTTTATGTTCACCTCCAAGAGAATAATGTCTGAAAAAACACTGCTTATGATCCAATGACTTTTTTTTTCAAATATTCATGTCTCAATGGTTATAACGAAATGATCAGGTCTCAATAATCATGCCCTATTAACTTTGTCCCAGTGACGATGATCCACTTTTAACATCACCATCGTCTCATAGCACAAATCTCACTGACCATATCTCACTGGCAGTATGTCATTTGGCATATGCTACAGACACTTTTCCAGTTCCCTGATCTAGTAAGTAGGACTCAACATATATGTTTTTAAGCCATGAATTTCTTTACAAAAACATAGACCACATCTACTAGGTATTAATATTACAATCACCCTGATGGTCCAAAACCTTTCCATACACGTGTTTAGTTTCAATTTATATCCACCAGTTGGAAACCCCCTGCCTCTGTTCGTGTCATGTTGTCATCATCATCGTTTTCATCTGAAAGAGACATTTTACCATTCTATTCACCATGTAACAAGGATTAATTTCCTTAATTCAACGATAGAGTTACTTAATTTAGGCATGAATAGGTAACCATGACTATGTGTTGTTTAGAAATATCCATTACACTTTATTTAACGGAGTCAAACCACAATCGACTTTTATTTTTATATACCGTTTAAAGAGAAAAATTGAATCGCGCCCTGCAAATTTTAAAATTTTATCTTTCGCAGAAACCTCTCATGGAGTATTTTCAACAACCCCCCCCCCCCAAAACACACACAGGAACACATACTTTCATTATATATATATATATATATATATATATATATATATATATATATATATATATATATATATATATATATATATATATATATATATATATATATATATATATATATATCGATTAGTGGTTCTTTTCTAAAATATATTTATATAATTTTGTAAGGATCTTTTTTCGTGTTCTGTATCTAATATTTCATGATATAAACACTGCATTAAAATAAAATAAAAATTTAAATGTTTGAAAATGTTACTTGTTTGGTTCTCGCTGTCTTGTATGTTTTCAGATCCTACTCGATTCCTAATGAATGATCGTATTTTGTAACGAAACTTTACCATAAGCACAGCTGCCAGCACCCCAACACAAATACCAGTCCCAATGCCAATCCATTCAGCTAGTCCAAGTGAATTCTTCTCTTCTGAAAGACAAAATTTAATGCATCACTGAATTAATATGAATACAATCAATTGCAGATATGAATGCAAAGTTTTTCTATCAAACGAAATATTTATTTTCATTAAGCTTTCCTAAACTGTTACTTTATAATGCTGACGTAAACACTTGATTTATGTCAACAGTTCAATTTGTAAAGCCAATCTGGAGGCGACCGTGCAGTTCTCCATGAACTCCATTCTTGTTGTTTGTTTCTTCCGATATAAATAATATTAAGAACGAAGAGGAAGAAGAAATAGTACTAACATAAAAACTAAGTTATATAAACAGTTCAATGTAGTACAGTGTAGCTACGTAAAGTAAATTGAAGGAAAAATATAAGCTTTATCTATACATAAATGTAATACGTCATGTTAAATTAAGTACATAAATTATAAAGAAAACATCTTTTTTTAAAGATAAAAAAGACAACCACTGAAATCGATCCTGAATAATCTCAGCATAAATGTACAGAAAAGGACAACTGTAAAAACACTATTTTAATGCCTCATACACAGTGGCGTAGCTATCGTAAAGCTAGCGTAACCATGGCATAGATGCCCACGGCATTTGGAGTCCTCTTTTCCCTTTTAAAAAAGAAAACCTTTTACATTGAAACTCTAATATTTGTTTAATATAAATAATTTTAAAAAGAAAAAGAAAATTCAGTTTCTTTTCTATTGTAGAAATAATTAACAGTTCTAAAAAAAGGCCCCAAGTCCTTTCTTACTTTAAAAGTAGTGGGATTCAGTGGGGGCCGGTTCGAACAGGGCCAATCCGTAATAATATCTCTACAGGCGTTGCCGCATGGTCGTGCGAGCCATTGCGAGAATTAGCCTATAAATAAACTTTAACTTTGACTATTTTGTGAGATCGGCATCCAGCACCAGTAAATCTACATGCATCGCTACAAACCTCAACTAACTGGGAAATTCCCTACCCCATCCCACAGACCTGCACCAGTCTCCAAACTGTCTGCCTTCCACACAAAATTCCATCTTTCTTAACATCCACCGGCGATAGTATTATTTTCAGATATCAAGTTTTCGATGTCAAGCAATGTAATATATAGCTGTATTTTAAAAAATAAATTCTTAAACAATTTTTTTTTATCTTGCTTCATTGATTTAAACTAATTTACCCAATGATTCGACAGAGCCTTTCCCAGTCTTTGACACTTTCCCCTCTATGGTGAAGCCAATTGTTGCCTTCGTTGCCCTGGATGTCACAGATGCTGTTGGGTCAATTTTTGATCTTGTGTTTACTATGTAAATCAGGACAAAGTCTAAACGTTTAACCGACAATGCTTTTAATTCTTTTGTTAATTTTTTATCAATAAAGTGAGGAAATACCCCGTCTTTGGTTGAATTAAAAAATTCAAAATAATAATCAATTTAAAAAGTTTTTTTTAAATAATTAGTAAACAAGCGATTCTTTTTCTATTTTCTAGAAAAAAAACGTGTAAAGCATTTAAATTAGTATTAGAAAATGTAATAAAATTGACATGTTCTAGTAATTGTAGCTTTCTAGACGGTCATTCTTTATCATAACGTTAAAAGTACATTAAATAAAACATTTTAACAAGTTACAAAAGTGAATATATACATATCTATATATAAAATTATCTTCATAGGGACCATTCGAGACACCACGTAAACGCACGCCGTTACTGCTCCGCTCTCTATGCATATAGCTACCACCCCACCCCCACCAGTCTGGTGAGCTGTGGTTACCACTAAATGCTTACAATCGTAGTGCTGGGCAGCTATTAAGGGGAAAATAGTTTAGTTTTTAAACGATTTGAAACTAAGGGGAGGTGATAACAAGTTCATCTTGATCTTTTCATTGTCGCCTGTAAACTGTCGTCTCGGACGGCTGCTTTCAAAGGGGGGGGGGGAGGGGGGGGGGGAAGAGAAGTAGAAAGTGAAAGTCCGGATAATTGTCCTTCACGAGCTACTAATAGTGTTTTAAAGCAACATATTTTCAGTCGCAGCATTAGTAGTGTCGAATTAAAAAATTACGAATTTCTGAAAAATATAAAGTAAAACAACTAAGTAGCACCGTCGCGGTCAGCTCTTATATATAATTTTAAATTTTATATATGGGTCTTCTACGAATATTCCAGAAAGACACTTGGTCGAATGTCATTTACCCCGAAGGCATTTTTCCCGAATTGACACTTGCTCGAATGCTAACAATAAGCAAATGGGGAAAAAGTCTGAACAGACAATTGTCTTAATGGGGCAATTTGTTTTTATCTTGGTGCATTGATTTAAATAGATTTACCCGATGTTTCGCCAGAACCGTTTCCAATCTTTGACACATTTCCATCCGTGGTAAAGTTAATTGTTGCCGTCGTTGCCATGGATTTTACAGATGTTGTTTGGTCAGTTTTAGATGTTGTGGTTGTACCTGCAAATCAGGACAAAGTTAAAACGGTTAACCGAAAGGGTTTTTCATTTTTTCGAATTTATTATCAATAAAGTGAGAAAATATAATGTGTTTAGTTGAATTAAAAAATTCAAACTTAAAATCAATTTGAAAACTACTTTAACAAACAACTAGTAAACAAACGATTCTTATTCTATTTCTTTGGAAAAAACGTGTATGGCATTTATATTTCTATTAAAAAATCTAATAAAATTGATATATACTACTAATTGTATAGACACTTGTCTTAATGGAGCATTTTTTTTATCTTTCTATATTGATTTAAATAAATTTACCCAATGTTTTGCCAGAACCGTTTCCAATCTTTGACACATTTCCGTTAGTGGTAAAGCTTATTGTCGCCGTCGTTGACATGAATGTCACAGATGTTTTTAGGTCAATTTTAGATGGTGTGATTTTATCTGCAAATCAGGACAAAGTTAAACGGTTAACCGAAAATGGGTTTTATTTCTTTTTTGAATTTTATATCAATAAATTAAGAAAATACGCAGTGTTCAGTTGAATTAAAAATTCTAAAAAATAATTAATTTGAATACATTCTTTTAATAACTAGAAAAGATGTGATTCTTTTTTATTTTGTAGAAAGAAAAAACGTGTAAGGCATTTAAATTATTATTAGTAAGTAAAATTGACATTTTAGTAATTACAATTTTCTAGGCAGTCATTCATTATCATAACATTAAAGATACATTAAATAAATTAAATAAAACAGTTTAACATGTTACACAAGTGAATATATATATATATATATATATATATATATATATATATATATATATATATATATATATATATATATATATATATATGATTTACAAGTTTATAAATGGATCTACAAAACTATTCCGGAATTTACACTTGCTCGAATGCAAGAAATAACCGAATGGGGAAAATGTCTGAACCACTTATCGTGATGGGGCAATTTGTTTTTATCTTGCTGCAGTTATTTTTAACAGATATACCCGATGTTTCGTCAGAACCGTTCCCGTTCTTTGAAGCATTTCCCTCTGTGGTTAAGCTAATTGTTGAAGTCGCTGCCATGGATGTCACAGATGGTGTTACTTCAGTTTTAGGTGTTGTGTTTGTATCTGCAAATCAGGACAAAGTTAAAACGGTTAAAAAAAAAGTGTAAGTCATTCAAATTTGTATTAGAAAATATAATTATTGGCTAGGCAGTCATTCTGCACCATAACTTTAAATGTACATTTAACAAAACATTTTGACATGTTAGATTAGTATATATATATATATATATATATATATATATATATATATATATATATATATATATATATATATATATATATATATATATATATATATATATATATATATATATATATATATACATATAAAATTATATATATATATATATATATATATATATATATATACATATAAAATTGTATGTGTGTTTTTGGAATAGCTTTTTTTCTGATCCTAACAAATCTAAATACTTTATTACAAAATTACGATTTTAGAATGCTTCCAATAACTACACTTCTATTATTAAAAATAAATGAAGAAAAAATCATTTAACTCCCTTTCACACCACCATAAACTTGGTTGATGAAGAAAGTCTTAAACTAGAGTCATTGTTCTCTATGTTTGTTTAAAGATGGTGAAGTTAATGACAATGTACGCATCCGTTTTTTAGATGTTGACAGAGGTCACGGTGATCCCCGAAGCGTGATTGCAGTTGTCATGAGCGTCGAGGGCGGTTTCTACAAATTAGGAACGGAACATGGTGTTCTAAAACAACTGTATGCTAGAAGTGAGTTTTCAATTCTTCACGAAAAACTGCTCTTATTGTCGTCAGTTGGCACTGAGGAAAAATCACTACGAACCATCGCATCTTCACAATCATTGACTTGGGGCCAAGGCTACACTCGCTGCAATTGCACAACTATGTGCACAACAAATCGCTGCAAGTGTAACAATAACAAGCTACTATGTAATTCTAAATGCCATAAAAGTTCAACTTGTTGTAACAAATGATGATATTGATAGATTGAGACTATAGTACAATAAAAAAATGAATGTTTCTGTCATTTACTTTAATTAATAATCAATAAAGACTTAATTTCATGATCCTTACGGCATAAAAAAAAAACAAAATTTGCTTATGATCTTCTAATTCGGACTTTGGCCGGTCCACCATGGCCAGTCCGCGGATAGGCCGGCCAAAGGCCGAAATCAAGCAAAGTTTCGGACTTTGACCGACCTATGGGAGGCGATATTGGCCTAATTGTTAAAATGGCGGACTTTGATGGTCACGACGAAAGTGTTGTACTGACATTTAAGTCCAGAAAAAGGAAGAGGTCATGCACAGAAAGAGAAAAAGTAAAGATCTTTCATCATTCAGGAGGAGGAATGATCCCGTCCATTTCGTGTAATCATATTAAAGGATTCTGCAAGGTAAGTTGTAGATAAAACTGTAACTTATCTAACACTAGGCAGGCCTGAGTTTACTTTTTTACTTTCTCGTATATACGAAGTATTGAGAAAGTATTGTAATCGTGCAAAAAAAAAATCGAGATTTTTACAAATCTCGACGTTTTACACCTCACTGATACGGAAAAACATAATTTTGCAATCTTGTCCGTATGTCTGTGTGTGTGTGTGTGTGTGTCTGTGTGTCTGTCCGTGTGTAAACACGATTACTTGAGTACCGTTACAGCTAGGTTGATGAAATTTCATATATAAGTATTATATCAAAATCGTAGATCCGTATCAACTTTTGAGCGATTTCCGACAACCGGAAGTGGTACTTTTTCTACTTTGAATTTTTCAAAAGCCTATAACTTGAGTACTATTTCAGATAGATAAATGATATTTCACATGTAAGTAAAAGATCTAATTCTCTACCTTCTGTAAAATTTTGAGTAATTTACGTTGACTGGAAGTAGTACTTAACGCTACTTCCGATTTCTCAAAAAACTAATGTAAATTTTAAAAGTACTAATAATATTGCGCACTATTATGCGTTTTTTATTTAGCGTTCACTTGGTGTGCAATTAATTTGTCTACGAGATTTTATTCTATTTTTAAAACTTTAAGTATTTAAAATGGATTAAAAATCATTTCTATAGCCCGAGTTCCCATCCCCTGTTATTTTATATAAGAATATTCGAGAAAGTTTAGGGGAGATCACTCCCGGTTTATTTTAAACACGATAGTATTACTAGAATTTAGATATCTAGCTTGATCTTTTATTTGTTGAGTGAAGTTTTGAATGTAAATGTATGAATACCAGTAGGCCTAGGCTACTGTCAGCTCTAGCTTAACATTCCAAAAGTAGAGAGACATTCTAGATCTAATTCTAGTCTCGATTATCTACTCTACTACATATTCTAGATCTAGTATCTAGGCCTACTATTTTTACTAGCTAGACGAAAGTTTTAACAATTCTAGTCAATATTATATCTAAACTTTGATTTATCATCTAGGTTGTATGTCCTCGTTTGTCTAGTCTAGCAATAACTTTAAGCAAGGCAAGGGGCTAGGCCTAGCTACTAGATCTAACTAGTAGTAGAATTTTTAATATAAAATTAAATCTTCCATTGTAGCAAAACATACATTTGTATTATTTATTTCAGGCTCAAGATATAACACCTGATGACCTGGTGAAATGCCATACAGAGTTTTACAGCAAACTGGGACAAAGTGTCACAAGATGCTGCTATAGTAGCTTTGCTTAATGCGGACACCACGAAAAGAGTGAATGATCAGAGGAAAAAAACAAGACACATGACGATCAAATACTTTCTTTGTAGTGATGGAAACAAGCTGCAAGTTTGCCAGTCTTCTTTTTGTTCAGCATTGTGTACGTAAATAGCTTTACCTTCAGTTTGCTATATTGGATTTGCTCGTACTGCAGTTACTGTCAATAAAAAACTGACTATTGTCCAGAGGTTTATCCGATTATGGAAATTCTCTTTTTTCAATGTTATAGTGGAATTATCTTAATAATACATGGTTAATATATCCACTTTTTTAGGGAAAAACTGGGATTCATTCAACACAAAGGAGCCTGGAAAAAAGAACTGTGTAAAGGTGGCTAAAAAGACAGATGTTCTTTGTGTTCTCGAAGCCGTAGGAGTGGAGGAGAGAATAAAGATTTCTTATGAGGCACTGCTATGTGATGCTATTGAGGATGTTGCTCATTCTAACTCTGATGTAGTTTGTCTGAATTATTTATTTTTTCTTGCTTCACTCATTTTTGTTTTCAACCTTTTTTTTCATTTCATACTATTTCTTTTACATTTTATGATTGTAGTATAAACTAATAAACTTTTTTCTTCTTTTAAAACTATTTTATGTTGACTTTTTTAGTTCTTTAGACTTTGTTAACACAGTTCAACAGTAGAAAAGACAAGCTGTACTCTTCAAATTAAAGTCTCTCGTTAGAGACTTGCATCATTTTGAAAATGGTTCAAATAACTGAAATTACTCAATAAAAACACTTTATAGTAACAGAAAAACATGGTACAATTGTAATAAGATGGTAACACTGGGAATATAAGTGGGTTTTAATAAAATAATAAACTAAAATATTGGACATTAGATGTATTATCAGAAAAAAGAATGGATATACAGCGTTTTGTAGCTTAACAAAAGCTGGATATACCTCATTTTGCAACTAAACGCACCAACTAAACGCAAATTTTGGGACCAAAATAAAGCATCTTTTTATACAGGTACATTTCAAAAACCATTCTAGTCCTATTTATATGAGGGTTATGAACCTAAATTGATAAACAGTTTTAGCAAATTGTACAATGGCTTCGTGTAGGAGAAAAATGCGATTTTCTCGAAACCCAAATTTTGGATATATTGCATTTTGAAAATCAAATCTTCATATATATCCTAATATATAAAACGCCATGTGCGCTCTTCTCTCTCTCTCTCTCTCTCTCTCTCTGTCCGCAAAAAATTTTCGCCGGACATCACGTCAGAAACGGCAGCGATATATGGAGAACTTTATACGGACTTTTGTTGAAAATAATATGCTAGATGTTTTAAATGTATAACCACAATTTTATTTAAAGAAGAAAAATAAAAATTAAAGGCGTATTCGAATGTAGAGAAACAGTATTATTTATGCAACCGGAAAAGCATTAATAAATGTGAAAAAGAACGCTAAAAATTGTGACGTCACTATTGCTTATACATTAACTAATGACGTCATCTGCCGTGTTTAAAATAAAAAGAAATGAACTATTTCATTCAAATTTGATTTAGATTTAGAATAAAAAGAAATGAACTATTTCATTCAAATTTGATTTTCGATCTACGTACACTATGAAATGCATACAATACAATTTTTCCGGCCTAAATTCATAAAATTTATTTTATGTATTTGGATTCTAGATCTAGAGATTCTAGATCTAGACTAAATCTAAATCTACGCAATAACTAGATCTAGACGTAGACGCTAAGATCTAAATTTAGACTCTAACTTCTCTAAAATCAATTCCAAAAATACATTTCTATATTAGGACTAAACTTTTTCAAGACTTATTTATTTTATACAAAATCTTTGTTTGGAACTGGCTAATTTGGGATAAAAAAATTAATTTGAAAGAATAGGCATATTCGCGTAAGTTAAGATTTTAAAATACGTGTTTCATTCTTCGTATTTTGTAAGGTGCCTAAATAGCAAAGATGTTAGTGTACATTAAACCACGCAGGTGGTGCGGGTTCGAGACACAACAAGTCAACTTTTATTTTTATTATGCTCGGGCTAAACTTTAAAAAAAAATTCTTTTAGGAATCTAGATCTAGATCTAGATTGTCGGGTGTCCGATAGGGCACTTCCCGGCGCCGCAGGCGCTTCAAATTTGGCAGGATCTTGCCTTGGCGCGACAGAGCACGGGGGCCGGTTGGCCGAAAAGTCTACGATGAGGGGGTAAAAACTGACCTCGACTGACCGGTACCTTATATGAGGTATAAATCGAAAAAAAATGTCCACGGAGGAACCTCTTCATAACTCTTGAGGTCGTAGACCGACCCTCGGGCGAATTAATTAAGCATTCAAATTCTCAATGTTTTCGAAAGCCTAAGCGAAGCTGGGCAGCATGCCTAGTATATATATATATATATATATATATATATATATATATATATATATATATATATATATATATATATATATATATGGTACTACTAAAAATATTTCCGAAAGACACTTGCCCATATGTCATTCACCCCGGGAGCCTTTTTTCCCGAATCGACACTTGCCCGAAAGCAACAAATCCCCGAATGGAGAAAAAAGTATGTATGGACACTTGTCTTAAAGGAGCAATTTTTTTTTTATCTTTCTATATTGATTTAAATAGATTTACCCGATGTTTCGCCAGCATCGTTCCCGATCTTTGAAGCATTTCCCTCTGTGGTTAAGCTAATTGTTGAAGTCGCTGCCATGGATGTCACAGATGGTGTTACTTCAGTTTTAGGTGTTGTGTTTGTATCTGCAAATCAGGACAAAGTTAAAACGGTTAAAAAAAAAGTGTAAGTCATTCAAATTTGTATTAGAAAATATAATTATTGGCTAGGCAGTCATTCTGCACCATAACTTTAAATGTACATTTAACAAAACATTTTGACATGTTAGATTAGTATATATATATAGATATATATATATAGATATATATATATATATATATATATATATATATATATATATATATATATATATATATATATATATATATATACATATACATATAAAATTGTATGTGTGTTTTTGGAATAGCTTTTTTTCTGATCCTAACAAATCTAAATACTTTATTACAAAATTACGATTTTAGAATGCTTCCAATAACTACACTTCTATTATTAAAAACAAATTAAGAAAAAATCATTTAACTCCCTTTCACACCAACATAAAATTGGTTGATGAAGAAAGTCTTAAACTAGAGTCATTGTTCTCTATGTTTGTTTAAAGATGGTGAAGTTAATGACAATGTACGCATCCGTTTTTCAGATGTTGACAGAGGTCACGGTGATCCCCGATGCGTGATTGCAGTTGTCATGAGCATCGAGGGCGGTTTCTACAAATTAGGAACGGAACATGGTGTTCTAAAACAACTGTATGCTAGAAGTGAGTTTTCAATTCTTCACGAAAAACTGCTCTTATTGTCGTCAGTTGGCACTGAGGAAAAATCACTACGAACCATCGCATCTTCACAATCATTGACTGGGGGCCAAGGCTACACTCGCTGCAATTGCACAACTATGTGCACAACAAATCGCTGCAAGTGTAACAATAACAAGCTACTATGTAATTCTAAATGCCATAAAAGTTCAACTTGTTGTAACAAATGATGATATTGATAGATTGAGACTATAGTACAATAAAAAAATGAATGTTTCTGTCATTTACTTTACTTAATAATCAATAAAGACTTAATTTCATGATCCTTACGGCATAAAAAAAACCAAAATTTGCTTATGATCTTCTAATTCGGACTTTGGCCGGTCCACCATGGCCAGTCCGCGGATAGGCCGGCCAAAGGCCGAAATCAAGCAAAGTTTCGGACTTTGAACGACCTATGGGAGGCGATATTGGCCAATGCGCGGATTGGCCGGCCATTCCTAACATTGGCCGACTTCGGGTTTTACCGTAACACACATATATATATATATTTATATATATATATATATGAAGAGTTGATTTTTAAAACGCGATAAGCGCCATTTTTGAAAAAATGAGATAAGGTGCCCATATTGTAAAGCTACTCAGTTACTATTAGGAAAACTTAATTTTAATTTTCACGGCGCAAAATTTTCATTATATTTCTATTTTTGAAAAAAAAACGTTTGGTTTCAAAACGCGGCATTGTCGATTTTATTTAGCGACAAAATGCGGTATCGATTCGGACCAATCCGTGTAAATATTACTATTTATCTGCGCATGCGCATTAAGCATCTCTAAGTGAAACAATTGTTAAAATGGCGGACTTTGATGGTCACGACGAAAGTGTTGTACTGACATTTAAGTCCAGAAAAAGGAAGAGGTCATGCACAGAAAGAGAAAAAGAAAAGATCTTTCGTCATTCAGGAGGAGGAATGATCCCGTCCATTTCGTGTAATCATATTAAAGGATTCTGCAAGGTAAGTTGTAGATAAAACTGTAACTTATCTAACACTAGGCAGGCCTGAGTTTACTTTTTTACTTTCTCGTATATACGAAGTATAGAGAAAGTATTGTAATCGTGCAAAAAAAAATCGAGATTTTTACAAATCTCGACGTTTTACACCTCACTGATACGGAAAAACATAATTTTGCAATCTTGTCCGTATGTCTGTGTGTGTGTGTGTGTGTGTCTGTGTGTCTGTCCGTGTGTAAACACGATTACTTGAGTACCGTAACAGCTAGGTTGATGAAAATTCATATATAAGTATTATATCAAAATCGTAGATCCGTATCAACTTTTGAGCGATTTCCGACAACCGGAAGTGGTACTTTTTCTACTTTGAATTTTTCAAAAGCCTATAACTTGAGTACTATTTCAGATAGATAAATGAAATTTCACACGTAAGTAAAAGATCTAATTCTCTACCTTCTGTAAAATTTTGAGTAATTTACGTTGACTGGAAGTAGTACTTAACGCTACTTCCGATTTCTCAAAAAACTAATGTAAATGTTAAAAGTACTAATAATATTGCGCACTATTATGCGTTTTTTATTTAGCGTTCACTTGGTGTGCAATTAATTTGTCTACGAGATTTTATTCTATTTTTAAAACTTTAAGTATTTAAAATGGATTAAAAATCATTTCTATAGCCCGAGTTCCCATCCCCTGTTATTTTATATAAGAATATTCGAGAAAGTTTAGGGGAGATCACTCCCGGTTTATTTTAAACACGATAGTATTACTAGAATTTAGATATCTAGCTTGTTCTTTTATTTGTTGAGTGAAGTTTTGAATGTAAACGTATGAATACCAGTAGGCCTAGGCTACTGTCAGCTCTAGCTTAACATTCCAAAAGTAGGGAGACATTCTAGATCTAATTCTAGTCTCGATTATCTACTCTACTACATATTCTAGATCTAGTATCTAGGCCTACTATTTTTACTAGCTAGACGAAAGTTTTAACAATTCTAGTCAATATTATATCTAAACTTTGATTTATCATCTAGGTTGTATGTCCTCGTTTGTCTAGTCTAGCAATAACTTTAAGCAAGGCAAGGGGCTAGGCCTAGCTACTAGATCTAACTAGTAGTAGAATTTTTAATATAAAATTAAATCTTCCATTGTAGCAAAACATACATTTGTATTATTTATTTCAGGCTCAAGATATAACACCTGATGACCTGGTGAAATGCCATACAGAGTTTTACAGCAAACTGGGACAAAGTGTCACAAGATGCTGCTATAGTAGCTTTGCTTAATGCGGACACCACGAAAAGAGTGAATGATCAGAGGAAAAAAACAAGACACATGACGATCAAATACTTTCTTTGTAGTGATGGAAACAAGCTGCAAGTTTGCCAGTCTTCTTTTTGTTCAGCATTGTGTACGTAAATAGCTTTACCTTCAGTTTGCTATATTGGATTTGCTCGTACTGCAGTTACTGTCAATAAAAAACTGACTATTGTCCAGAGGTTTATCCGATTATGGAAATTCTCTTTTTTCAATGTTATAGTGGAATTATCTTAATAATACATGGTTAATATATCCACTTTTTTAGGGAAAAACTGGGATTCATTCAACACAAAGGAGCCTGGAAAAAAGAACTGTGTAAAGGTGGCTAAAAAGACAGATGTTCTTTGTGTTCTCGAAGCCGTAGGAGTGGAGGAGAGAATAAAGATTTCTTATGAGGCACTGCTATGTGATGCTATTGAGGATGTTGCTCATTCTAACTCTGATGTAGTTTGTCTGAATTATTTATTTTTTCTTGCTTCACTCATTTTTGTTTTCAACCTTTTTTTTTCATTTCATACTATTTCTTTTACATTTTATGATTGTAGTATAAACTAATAAACTTTTTTCTTCTTTTAAAACTATTTTATGTTGACTTTTTTAGTTCTTTAGACTTTGTTAACACAGTTCAACAGTAGAAAAGACAAGCTGTACTCTTCAAATTAAAGTCTCTCGTTAGAGACTTGCATCATTTTGAAAATGGTTCAAATAACTGAAATTACTCAATAAAAACACTTTATAGTAACAGAAAAACATGGTACAATTGTAATAAGATGGTAACACTGGGAATATAAGTGGGTTTTAATAAAATAATAAACTAAAATATTGGACATTAGATGTATTATCAGAAAAAAGAATGGATATACAGCGTTTTGTAGCTTAACAAAAGCTGGATATACCTCATTTTGCAACTAAACGCACCAACTAAACGCAAATTTTGGGACCAAAATAAAGCATCTTTTTATACAGGTACATTTCAAAAACCATTCTAGTCCTATTTATATGAGGGTTATGAACCTAAATTGATAAACAGTTTTAGCAAATTGTACAATGGCTTCGTGTAGGAGAAAAATGCGATTTTCTCGAAACCCAAATTTTGGATATATTGCATTTTGAAAATCAAATCTTCATATATATCCTAATATATAAAACGCCATGTGCGCTCTTCTCTCTCTCTCTCTCTCTCTCTCTGTCCGCAAAAAATTTTCGCCGGACATCACGTTAGAAACGGCAGCGATATATGGAGAACTTTATACGGACTTTTGTTGAAAATAATATGCTAGATGTTTTAAATGTATAACCACAATTTTATTTAAAGAAGAAAAATAAAAATTAAAGGCGTATTCGAATGTAGAGAAACAGTATTATTTATGCAACCGGAAAAGCATTAATAAATGTGAAAAAGAACGCTTAAAATTGTGACGTCACTATTGCTTATACATTAACTAATGACGTCATCTGCCGTGTTTAGAATAAAAAGAAATGAACTATTTCATTCAAATTTGATTTAGATTTAGAATAAAAAGAAATGAACTATTTCATTCAAATTTGATTTAGATCTACGTACACTATGAAATGCATACAATACAATTTTTCCGGCCTAAATTCATAAAATTTATTTTATGTATTTGGATTCTAGATCTAGAGATTCTAGATCTAGACTAAATCTAAATCTACGCAATAACTAGATCTAGACGTAGACGCTAAGATCTAAATTTAGACTCTAACTTCTCTAAAATCAATTCCAAAAATACATTTCTATATTAGGACTAAACTTTTTCAAGACTTATTTATTTTATACAAAATCTTTGTTTGGAACTGGCTAATTTGGGATAAAAAAATTAATTTGAAAGAATAGGCATATTCGCGTAAGTTAAGATTTTAAAATACGTGTTTCATTCTTCGTATTTGGTAAGGTGCCTAAATAGCGAAGATGTTAGTGTACATTAAACCACGCAGGTGGTGCGGGTTCGAGACACAACAAGTCAACTTTTATTTTTATTATGCTCGGGCTAAACTTAAAAAAAAATTCATTTAGGAATCTAGATCTAGATCTAGATTGTCGGGTGTCCGATAGGGCACTTCACGGCGCCGCAGGCGCTTCAAATTTGGCAGGATCTTGCCTTGGCGCGACAGAGCACGGGGGCCGGTTGGCCGAAAAGTCTACGATGAGGGGGTAAAAACTGACCTCGACTGACCGGTACCTTATATGAGGTATAAATCGAAAAAAAATGTCCACGGAGGAACCTCTTCATAACTCTTGAGGTCGTAGACCGACCCTCGGGCGAATTAATTAAGCATTCAAATTCTCAATGTTTTCGAAAGCCTAAGCGAAGCTGGGCAGCATGCCTAGTATATATATATATATATATATATATATATATATATATATATATATATATATATATATATATATATATATATATATATATATATATATGGTACTACTAAAAATATTTCCGAAAGACACTTGCCCATATGTCATTCACCCCGGGAGCCTTTTTTCCCGAATCGACACTTGCCCGAAAGCAACAAATCCCCGAATGGAGAAAAAAGTATGTATGGACACTTGTCTTAAAGGAGCAATTTTTTTTTTATCTTTCTATATTGATTTAAATAGATTTACCCGATGTTTCGCCAGCATCGTTCCCGATCTTTGAAGCATTTCCCTCTGTGGTTAAGCTAATTGTTGAAGTCGCTGCCATGGATGTCACAGATGGTGTTACTTCAGTTTTAGGTGTTGTGTTTGTATCTGCAAATCAGGACAAAGTTAAAACGGTTAAAAAAAAAGTGTAAGTCATTCAAATTTGTATTAGAAAATATAATTATTGGCTAGGCAGTCATTCTGCACCATAACTTTAAATGTACATTTAACAAAACATTTTGACATGTTAGATTAGTATATATATATAGATATATATATATATAGATATATATATATATATATATATATATATATATATATATATATATATATATATATATATATATATATATATATACATATACATATAAAATTGTATGTGTGTTTTTGGAATAGCTTTTTTTCTGATCCTAACAAATCTAAATACTTTATTACAAAATTACGATTTTAGAATGCTTCCAATAACTACACTTCTATTACTAAAAACAAATTAAGAAAAAATCATTTAACTCCCTTTCACACCAACATAAAATTGGTTGATGCAGAAAGTCTTAAACTAGAGTCATTGTTCTCTATGTTTGTTTAAAGATGGTGAAGTTAATGACAATGTACGCATCCGTTTTTCAGATGTTGACAGAGGTCACGGTGATCCCCGATGCGTGATTGCAGTTGTCATGAGCATCGAGGGCGGTTTCTACAAATTAGGAACGGAACATGGTGTTCTAAAACAACTGTATGCTAGAAGTGAGTTTTCAATTCTTCACGAAAAACTGCTCTTATTGTCGTCAGTTGGCACTGAGGAAAAATCACTTCGAACCATCGCATCTTCACAATCATTGACTGGGGTCCAAGGCTGCACTCGCTGCAATTGCACAACTAAGTGCACAACAAATCGCTGCAAGTGTAACAATAACAAGCTACTATGTAATTCTAAATGCCATAAAAGTTCAACTTGTTGTAACAAATGATGATATTGATCGATTGAGACTATAGTACAATAAAAAAAATGAATGTTTCTGTCATTTACTTTAATTAATAATCAATAAAGACTTAATTTCATGATCCTTACAACATAAAAAAAAAACAAAATTTGCTCATGATCTTCTAATTCGGACTTTGGCCGGTCGTCCCTAGCCAGATGATCTTCTAATTAAGACTTTGGCCGGTCCACAATGGCCAGTCCGCAGATTGGCCGGCCAAAGGCCGAAATCAAGCAAAGTTTCGGACTTTGACCGACGTATGGGAGGCGATATTGGCCAATGCGCGGATTGGCCGGCCATTCCTAACATTGGCCGACTTCGGGTTTACCGAAACATATATATATATATATATATATATATATATATATATATATATATATATATATATGTAACGAGACTATTTGCCTGTAGTGCCAAATGTTAACGAGTTCTGCTCGACAACGCCAAATGTTACCGAGTCTAACCACTCATTCTACACAACATCGACCACAGTATAGATACTCGAAGATGCAGGTTCGCTATTGATCCTTTTATTACATGAATCAAAGAAATGCTTCACAATAATATAATGAATCAAAAGGAATGCTTCACAATAATAGTCTGAATCAACTGACCCCCAACAGTCCTCACTAGTCTTCACATAACTGAATGCACATGTCTATCGTCCTTCTTAACACAATACGGCTAACCCGTTCAATAACCAACTTGATACTGCCACACTGACTGACTGATCGAGAGAGAGAGACCGAGCTCAGCCGTCGCCTTCCTATATATCCCCTTCGTATTCGTAATCGTATTCGGTTCTATCATAATCGTAATCGTAATCGATTCTAATCGTTGCATCAGAATGTTAATTACGCCGCTTCTGTCGTACAGTCCGATTTAATAAGCCATCTGCATCCTGTCACATCAAAGTTGACAGACCGTATTGCGTTCTTATCGTATCGCTTCCCAAGATACTACGCCTTGGCTTTCTGATCGTTATCAGCCAACACCTGCGTTATTGCATCAGTCGTGTCAAAGTTGACAGCGCTGTACTGCGTTCTTATGTCTCTGGTAACTTCCCCTAGTTACATCCACCCCTGCCTTTTTTTGTGTGTTATCAACCACAAACAACGCTTGGCAGGTGCAGTCCTTCAAAGTCAATCGCACCACCGTAAAAAAAAAATTTATTGTTCCACTCACTGTCAATGTCGTCACATTCGTATAAGATTGACCGTTATCCCTATTTCACATATCAAATGTGTCTACATCATCTTCCTCAGACACAAAACAGTTCTTGAATTCACATCCACCTTTTTTCGTTTGGTGCCTTCACCAGTTCACTTGTATGACTTTTTGAACAGTCTGTTCTCATACCAGCGCGACCATGAAAGAATTGATGGTTGCTGACAAAAAATTTCGTATTCTTTCTGTTTCTCAAACTTCTCCGCGGACCACTTATCTGATGGTCTACTGTCTCTCTGCTTCTGGGAGGAACGGGATCCTCTTCGTTGCCGTTATCCTCCACTTGTGTATCGCTGTTGTTCTGTTGATGGTGACATGGTTCCGGGATGGGTATGTGAATTTCCGTTATAGTTTCCGGTTCCCTAATTGTCTTGGGTTTCCTTGTGTGTAACTGCTCTTCTTGACTATGACAATATTTCTTTAATTGAGCAATATTCGCCCACCGATCCGGTTTGGTGTGATCGATGGGTCTTATCTTAAAGGGGCCACCTGCTACTTTAGGCATCTCCACGACTTGCCATATCTCCTGTCCCCAGAGGTCGTGGATTTTGTTTCTGCCTAACGGGTGGCTACGCAGTAATACCCTGTCGTTCAGTTTGAGTGGCGGGTCCTTTGTCTGTACCGGCGGTTCCCTTCGCCGTGCTTCATGTTCTAGTCTTTCCTGTACTACCTTGTACATTTCCCAAATTCGTCTCATATGTTCATTCACATATTCCAGTGCAGTGTATGAGCCAGTCATACTTTCCTTTTTCCCTAGGAACAAGTCAAGAGGGAGTCGAGCCTCCCGTCCGAACAGCAACATGTGTGGCGAAAAGCCGGTTGTGGCATGGGGGGTGCAGTTGTATAGATATACCAACTCCGGGAGAAAATCAGGCCAACGTTTTTTCTGTTCAGGTTCTAGAGTACGCAGCAAATCATGCATGCTGCGGTTGAACCACTCGCACTGTCCGTTTCCTTTCGGATAAAATGTGGTTGTTCTAGATTTGTTGATCCCGTAGTGGCTGCACAGTTGGTTAATTACTTCTGACTCGAAGGCCCTTCCTTGGTCAGAGTGTAATTGTCTTGGTATGCCATATTTGATGAACCAATGTTCTATTAAGACCTTTGCCACTGTTTTGGCAGTCTGATCTCGTGTGGGCACCGCAACAGTCCATTTGGTGAATACATCAGTCATTACCAACACATGTTCCGTCCCATCCGATGATTGCTCCAACGACGTAAAGTCCATAGCCACAATCTCTAGTGGTTTTGTCGCCAGTAAGTGTCCTGATGGCTGTCTCATTTTGACAACTGGCATTTTCGCATGCTGACACCTAACACAAACCTCACAATGGCGTTTGACCTCCATTTCCATATTGGGCCAGTAACACCTCCGTCGTAATATTTTGTGCGTCCTGTCCTGACCCTGGTGTCCTGCCCTGTCATGTGCCAACCTTAGCACTTCTTCTCGTAATTGTCCAGGCACCACCACCTGGTGTATTGTCCCATCAATTTGGTCATGAATTCTCCGCATGAGAACACCATCCTTTATACTGAGACGGTCCCACTGACACAGTATTTTCTTTGTTTCTCGACCAAATTGTTCTCTTTCCCTTCTTCCTGGGAATTTTTGTTCCTGGACGTGTTTCAACAGCGGCTGTAAGCCACTATCCGTTCTCTGGGCATCTCTTATCTCTTTATTATTAAGGCAATTAAAATCACTAATGTCCATATGTCCGGGCTCTGTGGATATGTGCTCCACCCCGGTCTGTCCGTTTTGCATCACTTGCACCCCGTGAGGGATATCTGTTGACGCTCTGACCCCACATATTCCTGTCAGCGTTTCTTCCTCATCGCCCGGTCTCTCGTACGGATTCCTTGATAAAGCGTCCGCATTGCCATTGGACCGCCCCGGGCGATATTTTATCTCCAGGTCAAAGAGTGCCAATTCTGCTGCCCATCGCTGTTCGATGGATCCCAACTTTGCTGTCTTTAGGTGACTCAAGGGGTTATTGTCAGTGTATACCACACATTTAGCACCTAATAGATAGTCCCTGAATTTTTCAGTCACAGCCCATTTTAATGTCAAAAGTTCTAGTTTCATGGCGCTGTAATTTGTCATGTTCTTCTCTGATTCCTTCAGAGCTCGACTGGCATACGCAATAACCCTGAAACCTTGCTTTTGTTGTTGTGATAGCACAGCTCCCAGACCTTTAGAGCTGGCGTCAATTTCTAGCCGAAATGGTTTGTCAAAGTCCGCGTATCCTAATATCGGCGTCTCTGTCAAAGCCTTTTTCAAGAGCTTAAACGAGTTCAGGCATTCATCAGTCCATAATTCACCTATCAGTTGTGTTTTGCCTTTCTTTTTCTCCTTACTGTGTTTCTTTGTCATTTTGTTTACCAAGTCATGCAACGGTGCGGCAATTTTTGCAAAACCAGGTACAAATTTTCTATAATAGGAAGCAAAGCCCAAGAATGATCTGACCTCTACTGTAGTTGTTGGCTGTTTCCATTCTTTAACAGCTGCAATTTTATCTGGGTCAGTGGCGATGCCATCCGACGAAATCACATAACCCAAAAAACGTACCGATTTCAGACCGAAGCCGCATTTGTCTGGGTTCAGCTTTACTCCTATCTCCCTAAGACGGAGAAACACTTGTTCTAATCTTTTTAGATGGTCCTCCCAAGTTTTTGAGTAAACTAGTATATCATCCAAGTACACCAACATTATTTGAAATAGAAAGTCACTCATAGCACTCTGCATTACTCGCTGGAATGTAGCAGGCGCATTAGTTAGACCAAACGGCATACGGGTCCACTCGTACAGTCCCAGTGGAGAAATAAATGCAGTCTTATGTTGATCGTTGGGGTGCATGGCCACTTGGTGGTAGCCGCTAGCCAAATCCAAGGTAGAAAAAAATCTTGCTCCCCCCAACGCATCAAGACATTCATCAATACGAGGCAAGGGGAATGCATCCCTTCTTGTGATATTGTTCAATTTCCGGTAATCACAACACAGTCTTATCTCCCCTGACTTCTTTTTTACCACTACTATCGGTGCCGCATACGGGCTAGTGCTGGTTGTAATAATTCCCTTTTTTAGTAAATCGTTCAGGTGTGCTTTCACCGCCGAGTAGTGACTTGGCGGTAATCTTCGATAAGGTTGCGCCACAGGCCTGTCCTGTAGTAAGGGTATCTGGTGTTTTATTACTTCCGTGTAACCCAAATCACCCTCGTACGAGGCAAATATATCCCTGTACTTATTCAGCAATTCATTTAGTTTTGGGTCCTCAGTTTCCGGGAATGTATATGATCGGCCATCCTCTTTCTTCACCTCGGCCGTCACATTGACCGACCTAATTGTTACTTCATTACTGCTGGTATTGCTCAGTTCGATGCACTGTGCCGACCTTAGTACCTCGACGTTCTGTGGTACTCCTACCAGAGTATTAGGCGGTATAAAAATTTCCTCATCCAAAACATTTGCCACTAATCCTTGAACTAGTCCATTTTCCGCTGATGTGTATGTCCGCAGTAACACGACGCCTGCCCTCAGTGCGGCGCCACATGGTTCTATCATCACATCACCATTCACGCTTCTATCACCAATTTGTAATGTGATTGCCTTGACCGTGTTTGCCGGGACTGATATCCTTCCTCTGGTCTTGGCAAACCTGGCCAACTTGGATCCCCGACCTGGTGTGGTCGATCCGACAATATTTGTAAGAAATTCTGGCAACTGGCCAAGAATATTCATGCCCAACAGGCAAGGTATATTTGACACATTTGTCTCTAGGTTGTGTTTCGTAACGAACACCCCAACCTGCTTCAACCTATGTCCCGCCACCACGACATCCGCCAGAAAATAACCACAGTATGGAATGGTTAGTCCATTAGCTGCCGTCAGGCGCATGCATGTGTCAGGCCTCAACCTATGGTCTTTTCCTTTCATCCATTTGGTGTAAAAATTTTCCGTAATTGTCGTCACCTGGGAGCCTGTATCCACAATTGCCTTCACCGCGATGTCCCCAATCGTAATCACCATTTCGGGACAGACTCCCATCATTTTGTTTCTTGGGCCATAACCTCGCCCCTCTGTAGCCTGGCCCTGCCTTACAGAGGACGACCGTTTCCCTGACAGTACCGTGCCATATGTCCGGGTTGTGAACAGGACAAGCAAATTGGTCGACCGTCAGCCGTCCACCGGAGCGATGGACCGGCGGGTCGCGGCCGTCCAACCTGTCTCTGTTTTGTCCCGTTCTTTTCCTGATTCTCAGCTGTTGACCTGCTTTCTAACCTCTCCAATCGTTGGTCAACCTTATCCAGGTGGGCCAACAGTCGAGCCATCATGGTTTCCACCGTGCCGGTCCCTGTGGATGGGGATTGTTTATGTTCCGGCACAGAGACTTTGTCCACCGAACAGTTCGATTGGTCCTCATCCTCGGACCTGCGGATCGCTGAGTTCCTGACCTGAAAGAAGGTCAACTGCGGGTCTTTTTGGACCTCCTCTTTCAACTCTCTCCTTAAGATCGGGGTTGCTAGCCCCTCGATGAAATGGTCCCTCAGTAGGCGTACATCAATGTCAGGTGTTTTGCCCTTTACCGAATCAAAGGCCCTGTTCATTCGGTGTGAATACTCCATCACACTCTCCGCCATTCTCTGCTTTAAGCCTACGAACCCCGATAGCAGTTGCGATCCCGACCGTCTCTCCCCAAAGGTCTCCATAATTAGATCCAGCACCTTATCTGGATCTGATTGGATGGTTTTATCGTGGCATTTGACCTCTGCCCTAACCGTCTCTCCTATACTGCCCATCAGCAGTCTTAATCTTTCCTCTGGTGACATGTGTCTCGAGGCCCAGGCCGCTTTGACCTCTTCACTGAACCTGTTGGTTAAAGCTGGATCACCGTCCCCGTAAAATTTGTTAATGTGGGACTCTCTGGGCAGGACCACAATATGGGTCTGCTTCTCGTCCAGAGTAGACATTTTATTCCTTGAGTAAAAAAAAAGAGTTCTTTCTTACCGTGTGTGTATGAAAAATTTTCCTCGTTCCTCAATTTTCACTGTTCCTGAATGTTCGAATTCACACACACACGAAACACAGTTATGAACAAGGTTGACTATGGGTGCCTCAAGCGGCAAGTCTCGTTGAATTCATCCTGTCCGCAGCACCAAATGTAACGAGACTATTTGCCTGTAGTGCCAAATGTTAACGAGTTCTGCTCGACAACGCCAAATGTTACCGAGTCTAACCACTCATTCTACACAACATCGACCACAGTATAGATACTCGAAGATGCAGGTTCGCTATTGATCCTTTTATTACATGAATCAAAGAAATGCTTCACAATAATATAATGAATCAAAAGGAATGCTTCACAATAATAGTCTGAATCAACTGACCCCCAACAGTCCTCACTAGTCTTCACATAACTGAATGCACATGTCTATCGTCCTTCTTAACACAATACGGCTAACCCGTTCAATAACCAACTTGATACTGCCACACTGACTGACTGATCGAGAGAGAGAGACCGAGCTCAGCCGTCGCCTTCCTATATATCCCCTTCGTATTCGTAATCGTATTCGGTTCTATCATAATCGTAATCGTAATCGATTCTAATCGTTGCATCAGAATGTTAATTACGCCGCTTCTGTCGTACAGTCCGATTTAATAAGCCATCTGCATCCTGTCACATCAAAGTTGACAGACCGTTTTGCGTTCTTATCGTATCGCTTCCCAAGATACTACGCCTTGGCTTTCTGATCGTTATCAGCCAACACCTGCGTTATTGCATCAGTCGTGTCAAAGTTGACAGCGCTGTACTGCGTTCTTATGTCTCTGGTAACTTCCCCTAGTTACATATATATATATATATATATATATATATATATATGGGACTACTAAAAATATTTCCGAAAGACACTTGCCCATATGTCATTCACCCCGGGAGCCTTTTTTCCCGAATCGACACTTGCCCGAATGCAACAAATCCCCGAATGGGGAAAAAGTATGTATATATATATATATATATATATATATATATATATATATATATATATATATATATATATATATATATATATATATATATATATATATATATATATATATATATATATATATATATATGATTTACAAGTTTATAAATGGATCTACAAAACTATTCCGGAATTTACACTTGCTCGAATGCAAGAAATAACCGAATGGGGAAAATGTCTGAACCACTTATCGTGATGGGGCAATTTGTTTTTATCTTGCTGCAGTTATTTTTAACAGATATACCCGATGTTTCGTCAGAACCGTTCGCGATCTTTGAAGCATTTCCCTCTGTGGTTAAGCTAATTGTTGAAGTCGCTGCCATGGATGTCACAGATGGTGTTACTTCAGTTTTAGATGTTGTGTTTGTATCTGCAAATCAGAACAAAGTGAAAACGGTTAGAAAAAAAAAGTGTAAGTCATTCAAATTTGTATTAGAAAATATAATTATTGGCTAGACAGTCATTCTGCACCATAACTTTAAATGTACATTTAACAAAACATTTTGACATGTTAGATTAGTATATATATATATATATATATATATATATATATATATATATATATATATATATATATATACAGAAAACCTGACAAAAGCTGAGTCTGTAAAGATAAAATCTGTGGTAAAGGTCCTAGGTAAAGGGAAGATGAGACCTGGTGTAGCATTTCGTTTATTTTTGCTAATGTTTATGAGTGAAATTATACATTAATTATACATGCACGCTCGAGCACACCAACTTTTAATCACAGTTATCTCTGGTAAAGACGACTTACACTCACATCTCACGTGACACACTAAACACTATAATCACAGATTGTATGTACCCTCGCAGTCTATAGCTGCAGTCAATCAGCGGAATAAAAAAAAATCTCCCTTGAAAAAAAAACTTTTAAGGGAATAATCTTTTATCATATTCAAAAAAAAAAAAAAACAGATATGAAATGAACAATTAAAAAGTAAAAGAATAAATTTAATTTGTTGTAATCTTAATAAAACTATGACTGAAAATAAAAGCCTGAGCGCTGATTGATTAAATTTAAACATAGGTCTTATATTATGTTGTAGAACTTAAATCTGTCAATGAATTTCATATTGAGAAAAATCATTTTCAATAAGTGAGCGCCAAGGTTTTGATTTTTAGTCACATCAGCATATAGCTTTATTAAGGTTACACCAAATTATTTTTTGTTACATTTTAGTGCATTTTATTTTCTCGTATATACGACGAAGTATAGAGAAAGTCGTGTAATCGTGCAAAACAAATCGAGATTTTTGCAAATCTCGACGTTTGAGGGCTTCCTGAGTCGGAAAAACATAATTTTGCAATGTTGTCCGTTTGTCTGTGTGTGTGTGTATGTGTCAGAGGCGTAGCGATGGGGGGGGGGGGGGAGGGGCAGGGGGGTACATATGTCCCCGGGCGCCGACCCAGGGGACGCCAAAAGGGGTTGTAAAAACAAATTAACATGTCATTTTAGCTGCAGTTTGAGGGGGGGGGGGGGTGTGCAAATTGAAAGTTTGAGGGGGGGGGGGCTGCAAATCGAAAATGTTGAGGGGGGGGGGTGCAAATCGAAAGTTTTAGGGGTGTAAGTGCAAATTTAAAAAATTTGCTCCCCGGGCGCCGTGAAGGGTCGCTACGCCTCTGGTATGTGTGTCTGTGTGTCTGTGTGCGTGTGTAAACATGATAACTTGAGTAACGTTAGAGCTTGGTTGATAAAGTTTCATATATAAGTATTACATCAAAATCATGGATTTGTATCAACTTTTGAGCGATTTCCAATAACTGGAATTGGAACCTTTTCTACTTTGAATTTTTCAAAACCCTATAACTTGTGTTCTATTTCAGATAAATAAATGAAATTTCACACGTAATTTAAAGTTCTAATTCTCTGCCTTCTTGCAAATTGTGAGAACTTTTTGTCGACCGGAAGTAGTAATTTATCTTATTTCCGATTTCTCAAAGAAATGCATGTGAATTTATAAAGTACTAAAAATATCCCGCACTATTATGCACATTTTATTTGGCGTTCACTTGGTGCCCAGTTCTTTTTTTACGAGATTCTAATTATTATAAAAAGTTTAAGTAATTAAAAATGGATTAAAAATATTGTCCCGAGTTGCCATCCCCCGTAGTGTTATATAAGAATATTCAAGAAAGTTTAGGGGAGATCGCTCCCGGTTTTTATTTCATTTGAGATCCTTTTGTGATTTACGAATGTTATAAAAAAATATTTTCATTAATTTTCTTTTTTAATGTGAGATCTTGTTTTGCATTTTTAAATTATTCGCTCAAAATAGAATTAATACGCCAATTAATAACTAAAATTGAGTTAACTGTCTTTAATTGATTCGAAATTGACGAAATCAGGCAAACGCGAACTGAATAAAGTTCATCCTCGACAACCCTCTGATAAAGCGATCACTAGGATTTTTAGTTTTAAAAAAAATCTTTTTGTCTCCCCTTTTTACATAAAATTTAGTAGCTTTTTAATTAATCTATCTAATTATATAAACAATTTAATATTTTTGCATAGTCATTCAAGATCTACCGCTGTGTTATATTTCAGATCAATCGGACATTGGGGAAGTGGGTCTAATTAATATTTTAAAATTTGTGGAGCCACACACATACAAATGTGAGCGGCTGGAGTGTGGTGTAATTATTATTTATATGTAACTTAAAGGGCGAATGTATCGGTTCGTTTCATCTCGTAAACTGTTTGAACTTTTTAGTTGTGTAGTCCCGAATTATGGCGCCGTTGTTTAACTGTTTATGACCATGTTTACAGCTAGTTTGCATATATTTTGTTTAGATTGTTGTCACTGTTTATATAAAGTGTCTTTTTGTATAATTCTGTCGTATGTTTCGTGGCTTGTTGTTTGTTATCTGTGACTTAGGGACTATTTGTTTACGTGTAGTGTGTGAGGTGTGTGAATGTCAGTTTCCGGTGTGGCGTTTGATTCACTTTTGGATGTCGTGCGGATGAGGCGAGGAAGTCTGTGAGTCAGATCCTGGACCATCCGGGGCATCATAAGTCGAAGAAACGCCATCAAACTATTGCATTTAGTGAATATATTTCTTTATAGTCTAGTAAGTTAGATACTCTATTTATTTTTCTATTTTGTTATGTTGATTGGCCATGAGCTAGCTTTTTCTCGACTGTATGTTTTCTTATCGCCATTGTGGTTTTGCCAGACCACGTGTAAGCAGACAGATTCATATACTTGATTAGTTTTTTTCCCCCTAGGCTTGTGTTAAGCCAGGGATAAGGTTCATTGTTGCCTGACCCTCAGTTACTGTTCATTCTTGACTATCCGGTTTGGTTGTGTTACTTGTAATCTGTTTTACACATTTTTGTACGTCATCATAGTGGACTTTCACTTCATGTGGTGATCTTTGTTGATCCGTAAGGCACCATGAACCAAGCCCACACGTCATAAAAACTACTAAAAACCACTAACGACACTAGACCCCACAGCATAAACCACACTTCAAAACTCTACGACTCACTTACCTCTACCCACATCTCTCAACACTAGTCACACAGACCACACTCAACATTTATCACACTCCATAAACACCTTTTCTAATATACCTACATCAGACCGTCCCAGAGTCATCTTAGCTCTAAAGGGCACCTTACTCACTTTAGGGAAAATAAAAGCATAAGGCTGACCACACAATTCCTTCATATGCCGAGGTCACAGTAAAAGGTGAACTCTACTTCACTTGCCAACTAGACCGTGAGGGATGGAAAGGGGAACTTTACACCCTCCATTACTACACAACACACGGAGTAGATAAAATCCCACACCACTCTCGCTACATAATAAACGATTACACACCCACTAGTGGCTAGTTTTTGAGATTCAGGTCGTCTAAGGATTGTAAGAATCTGATGTACAATGTACATTAACAAAGAGGGTAATAATATATGTGAATATACTCGAAAATAAATACACGCATATTGTCAAGTGATTTTACAAGTTGACGCACCTGAACAAGCTTAACACAATCAATACCAAACTCACTTTACCGCACCGCACCCCACCTCTACATACACATACTCAACACAACACAGTCTGAGTAGACCAAACCCCACGGCACCACACTAAATACAAGTAGAAGTTGTAAGAAGACACACGGTCTATATTTATTTACCTACTGTACAGAATGCTTGCAGGACAAACGCCAACAGGATACATGTATGTACCTTCATTGTGTTAATCCACACATATAATGATTCGAATGAAACCTGATTAAAGTAAGAGTGCTTTTGTTAAGTAGATCTGTAAAAATGTTTATATATAGATGTAAAAAAGTAAAATATTGGTACATTTAATAATGTTTTATAAAGATTTTAAATTAAAATAACTGATGATTGCATCTCAATTTTAATTGAGACCTAGCAATACACGATGCAGTATAAATATATATATATATATATATATATATATATATATATATATATATATATATATATATATATATATATATATATCTTAAATATAGAAATCCCGGCGAAATCTATATATATGTAAAGCAAAGTGGTCAAATGCCCGGTAGGGCACTTCCCGTCCTCACAGGCGCATCAAATTTGGCACGATGATGCCTTGGGGCAATAGAACACGGCGGCCGGTGACGTTTGGCCGAAAAACTACGGAGAGGGGGTCAAAACTGACCAGCTCCGTATATGGGGTATATTACGAAAAATCTTTTGCCCTTGATATTTTGTGAGGTAGTACGAGATCACCTAGGGGTGTGAGAAAAACTCGGCATATCCGGGAAAACTTCGTAAAAGGGTCAAGACTGACCAGCTTATATTTCCTTATATAATCTTTGTATTTTATGGAAAAGCAGAGGGTAATTTCAACACAGAGTTCAGGGCATTTACCGTTTGTACATCTAGCTAATTTTTGACATGCACCTAGGTAAATGGATTGGAATAGAAGTGTAGCATTTGCTTCAGTAAAAAATTAAGTTGTTAATTAAAGTACGTATCCCAATTAAATAAGTTAATTAATTTTAAAAGTCAATGTAATATAAATTATGAGATGTACTGTTCATGGAACCTCTGTAGTTTTAATTCCATTTTAGTCATACATTTCGAACTTTCCAATATTTTCTCTGAAAATGGAATTTAAACAACAAAAAAAGACAACAACATTTTCTCTAAAATTAGCACTACTGTTTAAATTTAAGCACTCCATACCTCAGCCGTCACTAAATAATTAAGTATTCAAATTCTCAAAGGATTTTGAAAACCTAAGCGAAGCTAGGCAGTATGCCTAGTTGATAAATAGTTCAATGAATTCTAGAAATAGCT